TCACATGTCCCTCAGACTACATTAATAAGAGAGTCTGTAGAGCCTCCCCTCCTCATGGCCTCATTCACAGGGAAATGGTGGACAGGCCAGTGTGGAAATGGCTCATGGATGAGGAACAAGAAGTGATTGGTAAAACGTGACATGTGCTGGGCAGTTCTGTCTTTACTCTGCTGCTCCAGTTAATTATTTATCCTCTTGTGTTTGGTGTCATATGATGCTTTGGTGCCAGAGGCTTCCTGGAATCACTCATGAGTATTGGCCACTAAATAAATGGCTTTTGGATTTGAACAGGCTCCTTTGGCTAAATAAGACGGTTGGGATGCAACAACAGAGCCGATGTAATAATAAATCTGACTCACCAATCCTATTATTGGCAATGTCCTTTAGTCAATTTAGCTTCAAAGCCTTGTTTACTTGGTAAGCTAGCCCCATCTCCGCTATTAGGGAAAACAAACCATATAGTCTACTTTTTACCAAGGTAGTTGTCATTCTTGCACTGTGGCTTGCACTGAAAGTAATAGCATTTTCATTATAGACGTGATCTAGCACTTATTTATTCATTAGTAAGTAAGTTTGATCACCGTGCATTAAAGGTGCACTGTGTAACATTTCTAGTAGAGTATCTGCCACCTGCTTGTCTCCATGGAAATATTATTGCTTTCTTTAAAATGTTCCACAGTACAGACTAAACCTATATTTCACGAGGGAGACAAGCAGATTACAGCACTACACTACATTACGATTCAGATCTGTGGAGAGTCATGCCTATTCACAGAAGGAATGATTGTATTTTTCAGCAAAAGAACTAAAAGTATATAAAAGTTAGTAATTCTTTTTGACTCTGACCACAACAAAATCACAGTGTGCACTATGTGATTTGCAGTTGTTTTGCATATTTCTGTCAGATCTTCTTCATAAGATATTTTCAGTTTAGTAGTTAGTTACAGGGTATAGTCAGTGTATCTCCTATTTCTTTCTATTTTTAGCAAATCTTCAAAAGGTTGTCAGCCATTTTAGATCCCTGCTATTTACAGCGAGCTTAGCCAGATTTAAGGATTTGGGGTTTATGTTTCTTGCACTTGTCTTCAAAGTTCCTCTTTTGCAGATCTGGTCCATCCGCACTACCTCAGTCTCACTCTCTCCTGCAAAGTGTAACAATGCAGCGGTGACAGGGAGCGAGAGCTGCGTCTGACACTGGCACAGGATTAAGCACATGATCATTTAAGAGGGAAATCTATTCTGCTTCAAAGAGAACTTTCTCCAGCTCTTAGAGATGGGCAGGGAGTTTGTGCTGCTGCAGGTTTTGTCATCTCACTTCACTTGCATAGGGATTACACTGGGATTTTCCATATCTGTTACTGCAGCCGGCTACTGATATGAACCGCAAAATATTGGAAAAACACGAAATAGATCGTAAATACTGCCAAATCTAAATGAAAGGCAAACATGTTATGAGGGTTCATTGATTATGATTGCATAAATGATTTACAATTCCAATCCAATACACTTTTTATATAGCACAATTCATAAACAAAGTGCTGCACAATACAGATAAAAAATGGATGCCAGTGGAAATATAAAATAAAGCTCTATATAACTCCACTAGTCTAGGGAAATTCTTTCTTGCTGTGGCCTGAGACAAGAGTGGTAATCAGAAGGACTGTGCAATTAATCAAATTTATAATTGTAATTTCAATTATTGCTCTGTTCAATTACTGAAATGTTGTAATCGAAAATAGAATTAATTACTTTCTGTTCAGTGCTCATTCTACCTTGCAAAACTAGAGCAGAGTCATTGGTCTATCTACAGTGGCTTTAAAAACAAAAAAGTCATTACTAAGAAATTATATAAAGTCTAGACTTTTAAATTTTGTACATTTTTGTACAGAAGTAATAGTTTTAAATAATTGTGCTTTCTATTATAAGATAAATAATTGTGATGATTATTTTTCCCATAGTCAAGCAGTTACCATGTTGCCAAATATTCACAGGACAGTAACATTGGATCATTTTCCCTTGAACTGATCAAATTTCTATTTACACATACATTTTATTTACATCTTTTACTCTAACCCACTATACAGTATGTTATGTATGTATTTGAGTAGGTAAAATGCCACTGAAGCATGATAAATGAGTCTCTAGTTGGTTCCCAGGTTAAGTGACTTGGTCTCATATTTAGGCGTGCTTATCATAGGCTTTGCATGTTTTTGCTGCAAGACACAAATTATGTGAGTGTTCAATTACAGCCGATGCATGGCAGGTTTTCAGAGCATGACACAGGTTGTGAACACATGCGGCTTCCAGGGGGGCATCATACTTGTCCACACTATACAGCCAAATGAAAACATCAAGACACTTTAAACACATCATCCATCAAACTGTATTAAAGATCATCACATCTGCAGTTTTCAATGCGGTAGTGACTTCTCTGGCTCACAACCAAATCCCTGTTTTGTGTATGTGTCCTTACGGTATTGTTAGCTTGTAACAATGTTGTATAGGATGTAAATATGTATCGACATTTCTCATATTGATCAGTCTCTTTATGTGATTTTCCCCAAGGATGAGTGATTGTCCTGCATTTTACTCTCAGTGAGAAGGTTCAAGCGTTATGTTTTTCAACAGATTTACAGTTTCCAGTAAACATATACAATAAAATAAAAACTAAAATTAATAGGTGTGTACAATTACTATTGCTGTAATGCCATACTGAAATTTGTAACAATTACTAATCAGCTTCAATTCTTTATCTTAAATACTGCGTTAGATTTACTGACGACTTACAAACTCATAAGTTGCATGTTTTTTGCACACCTACCTCTGCTATAATAGTTTTCTCACTGCTCTACATCTGCTTCTTAATTATAATTATAATGTAAGACTATATCGTGTCAGCCTTTAAAATGGCATGGTTAAAAGGTTTGCTTGAAAGCATTCCTCTATTGCAGAACGCCTCATTAGTACATAGTATGTTTTATTCATAATTTTCAATTTTAGGAGTGCCAGCATTGTTGTACTCTGTTGATGGCTTGTGTTGTATAGATTTTGTATGCTTGTTTACAGCTCTGAATACCAATGAATACTAAAAAGGTTGTTCATTTTTCGATAATTGCAAATAGCATAGAAACAATTATGGCACGTCTCAGTGTAGTATACATTCAGTAGACAACTTGTCCTTTCCAATTCAGAGCTGTTCTGACAGATCTTCCCTTGTGCCCACTCTATGGCTCACTGGTTTTGAGGAAAAGAGGAATGCTGAGTACAAGATGGACACTATGTTTTAAAATACAACTACAGTGACAAGAAGCCTGCACGGTTACATACCACAAATACTCTTAAGATTGGTCAAAAATGTTAGATGTGCCAATGAACACCACATTTTAATACACCTGCAGTATACCACAGAACATCCTTAATTATCCATCAGTACAGATATCTATAAATCCAAAATGACAAGCCAGTAATTTAAGACAGCCAAAAACCCTGCTGGAAACCAAATGCAAGAGAGGATTCCACAACAGTGTTAAGATTATGAATGGGAAATAGTAAATCTAGCGTCCATGTATCAGCCAGGCTCCCTACAATGTGTTATTTGAGGTGCAAAATGGAATCCAGAATTTGCCAGCAAGCGAACAGCTACCACTGACATCCAGTACTATCACTGCATTATTTTGTTCTTTTTTTTTTACTCTGTCAATATTTTTATTTATTCACCACAAAAACTTGACCAATGCAGCTCTGTGGCATTTTGGGTAAAATATAAAATTGAATTCAACTAAGATTGTTTCATTTCTAATTGGGCAGTTAGCTATAGATTTTGGCATATTATGAAGAGTGAACCACTTAAATGTATTACTTAAAATACAATATTAAACAATCTCAAAATGTTCATCTCCACATCATTTTTTCTTCTGCATTCCCTGTTTTTATGTGCATAAACCTCTGCATCTCTGCTTCCATAACAGGCCCTTAAAAGTGACTCCAGCTATATTCAGACACATCAACATGGGGCGATTCAACTCAACTGTTCAAACAGAAATAAGCAATCTGATGGCAGCCAGAAAAACATGCTGTTTCCCCTCTGCCCCCCAGGCTATCTGGAGCAACATTTACTGCATACAGGCCTCCCGATAAATTTAAGTGGGGCTTGTTTATGTTCTTTTATGACCACTTCCATCAGACAGCTTGTAACACTGAAGACTTCAAGTTCTAGTCAAAGAAACGTGAATCTTATTTTGGCTCCAATCGGTCCCATGGGGTTCTGTGTCCCCTGAAAGATAATGTATACCAAGCTATGTTACAATAATGTACCCTGATCACAAGTTTCACCATCTCCATTGCTCTCAATCACCCATTACCTTGACAGTCAATCTAGCTGCAGCCAATTACCGCGTATACAAATAATTGATGCACATGTCTGAAGTGTCTGAATCCCATCAGTTGCCATCGTTCCATCTGAAAGTTGTAATATTAAAGGTTTGAGTTTGATACCAGGGGCTAAAGGTCTGAGCTGTTAATATAGTGTGTAGCCGACGGAGAATAACCTTGTGAACCGCGGTTTGATCCATCACACCGAGATGTAGTGACACGCAGAAAATAATAATGCCGGAGCGCGGGTGCAGAGATAGCCTTGTGACCCAGGTACAACTCATAAACTGCACTGCGGCATCAGCTGTATTAATATCATAATGTCATGTCCATGTTGCCTACATAGCCCTGATGAATGTCCCTCTCCCCTGGAACCTAGAGTTGGGCGATTGAAACATGTGCGCCCAATTGCGCATCGCTTGTACCTTGAACACACAGTCATGCAGCGTGCAGCATATTTGATAGGATATATTTCCTATTATCTTCAACCTGACCATCAAAGATCGACAGCCGCAAAACCGGGTGGTGTAAACCAAAGCCAGAGGGTGCAGCCAATGGGGTTTGCGTCGAGGGAGATTGCCGAGATAAAAAAGGTGTCATAGAAGAAAAGTTAAAAGTAGCCTACTTACCCCGTTTGAACATTTTGCAGGCTTTATGTGCTTGTCCTCTGCTGCCCTCCGAGATTCATCTACTCCTATATTCCAGACTTGAAGTTGGAGAGGTTGTAGTTTTGAAGATATGGATCTCGCCTTTTCACAGTCACTTACTCTTCACTGCACTGGTTCTCACTCTGCAAGTCTGCATACGACTGAACACACACCGAAAATAAATGAAAATAGCATCAAAGCAAAGTTTGTAAAATAATAACAGCAAGGCTCCTAAAACATCACATAAAACATGAAAGCGTATCTCCACCGAGTAAAGCGCGCCCTGGACCAGCACAGCCAACTCCTTTTCTGAAGACGCAAAAAGCTCCCGAGTCAGTTTTGGGGTGTCGGACGATTAACAGGGTATCTCCATAAATGGGCAAATGTTTAAATCATCTAGCCAGCCTCAGTCTCCTCCGCTGTTTCTCCAGATCCACAGGAATTGTATCATATTCGTTAAAATCTCTAATTAACATAAGTTATTTGGATTCCGCCTCTGATGTTGGATTATGGACGCAGTCTCCTCAAATCCTCCTTAATAATGCAGACTTTGATGTCTTCTTTAGAATCCCCCTTTCCTCGCTCGTCTTTCCACTCTCAGTTGTTACATTTCTAATGTTGTCTAAGAAGACCTCTCGGCTTTACGCCAGTGGATCAGATCGTGGCTGCTTGACGCGCGCGAGGCAGGACAGAGTGTGTTGTAGTGGCTGCGTGGCTCCAGCGGGCAGCATCCTGCTCAAAGCCTCTAACTGGCTGCCTCCCTGCGCCGTGCAGCTACAGACACTGGCCCACACCGCAGGAAACACGATAGCGCACAGCACCAACAAAAACACGCCTAGACGCCAGTGAACTCTGAAATCAGGACAGAGCTAAGATATGACAACCATATGCAAATGTACTTGCAAATTATACTTTTTGTCAAAACAGATCCTATTTTATGAATATTCTCAAAATAGGACATAGCATCTTACTGGCACGCAAATGCCCGATTTGTAAAAGCATATTATTACTTGTAGAAGTAGATTATAGAATGACTGATGAAATATGAATCTTCTTCAAATATTAGGTGTACGCCTATGTGTTTCATGGTTATCTTAACTTCCCCTGAGAACAACTTTGTGCAACCTGCATAAAATAGTCCAAGCGATCGCAGTGAAAATTGAATCATCCAAAATTGAAATCTACCACAATTTGATGAGTTAATTTATTTGTTTACTTATACTAGGCCAATTTATTTATTTATTTATTTATTCATTCATTCATTCATTCATTCATTCATTCATTCATTCATTCATTCATGCATTTATTTATTTAGTAAATGCTTCAGCCTATAGCACGGTTGTTCGGAGTTGTTCAGTGACATATGACATTGATGTTTTAAAATAGTGTGAGTATTTATAATACATTTCATTTAGCCTCCCTCCCCTCTCCCTCCGTTCAATCAGTGACATCGATTATCTCGGCGCTCTACTCATTTTCCTGGCATTATCTCGTTTCGATTGGTTTTGCCTTTCCCTTCCTCACGTGTGTTGTTTGGATTAAAAAAGATGGCAGCTCCCGCGAACGAGACGCAGGTTGTTTCTGTCAAAAAGGCAACAGGCAAGTATTACGACCATTAAAAACATATTTTATGTGTATATAATGATGCCGAGCGAGCAGGGCGTGTTGGGCTTCAAAATAATGTGAAAAAAAGCATACGATATATTACGCGTTTTATCTCCGTTCATCTCTCATCCCCGGAAAATGACTCCAAGCATGAACCACACTGACTCACCCATTCATAGCAGGGCGATGAGGCAAGGCGGAGAAGTGTCTTGCCAAAGGACACAACACGCTACTGGTGGGATCTGTGATCAAATCACCGATCTTTGGGTCCGTGAGCGATCCTTCCTCTTCTACTGAGACAATTCAAGCCCATTAAGTTATTCCAGTTTGTAGTGAGATTTCGAACGACTACGCATTTGCTATCAGCCAAATAATACAACCTATTATTAACACGCTAATTAATTACACATAATATATCATAACATCTTTAATACTTAGTAAGTCATGTTACTTACTTGTGTCTTCAGTGAGAGGACCACGAAGAGTAGCCAATCAGATCCCTGATGAAATCCTAGAAGACGCTGAACTTCAGGAGGCTATCAAGGCCCTCCCTGCAAATTACAATTTTGAAATCCACAAGACTGTATGGCGAGTGAGACAAGCAAAGGCTAAAAGAGGTAAGAGTTAACATATCCTTTTACTTTTCTTTTTGAATAAAAAAGAAGTCTGTCATTGAAAAGTAACATCATATCAGTGAGCAAACAAATAGGTAATTTTATTAGCCTGAGTAAATTGCCTTTGTGAATTAACTTTGCACAATAGGCCTAATAATGCTGTAGATTAGGGCTGGGTAGTATGATGGAAAAAAGCAGATTGTGATCTGATGCCTATCATGTCATGACAGGCAGATCATGTTTCAGTGTTTCAGTGCTTTAATACATGCATCTTTCCTCCATTCTCAAATTTTATTAGTCAGCCTCTCGTGATCTCATTGAGTGATGGATTTAGCCTTAACAGTTGTAGCTAGTAATTACCTCTTAAATATACAATTGAACTTGGTTTTGGACAGTTGTGAATGTGGCCTTATGCCTCCTTTAGTGTAGCTTGTGGGTATTGTTTTTTTTTTCAAAACAGCAATAAAAGCATGCAGTAGGCAGGCCCTGCATTGTGCTGTGAGAGTGCTATACTGCTTTTCAGTGATTGAAAGTTGTTCGTCTCTAGAGCCGTGACAGCATATAGGTTACACTTTCAGTTGGGCCTGCAGTTTGTGGTTCACCTTTTGTTTAGTAATCTGTCGATGGAGAGAGCTCTTTGCCTTTGTCAGCTGTGGCAGAGGTGTGTTCTGAAACCTTTGTGTGTTAATAAACTTGGCCTTTTCTCTGTAATGACCTGTCTCTCACTGTCTGCATGGGGCGTGCCTGTGATCCCTTAACCTTTCATCTGTAAGACACACTGCTGCTACTCCTCCCCACCCTGCATCTATCACTCCATCTTTCCATCTATCACTCTATCTCTGGGTATCCTTTCTCTGCCTCCTATAGGTTTTCTTTGTTCCACTCTTGATTATTAAGTGTTCTGCATGCCCAAAGTCACAATGATGTTTGTATAAGGGAAGGTATGTGTATGCTAAATACTTGCTATCTACTAAGGATATGAATTTATTTATGGATTTAAGACAATTGCTTAAAAAAAATTTCACACGGGAGTTAGTAATTCCTGGTTTAGTCATGGTCTAGTCCAGCGTTTTAGTTGGCTAGATGGGTTTAGCAATTTGTTCCCAAGTTTAATGTTAGCTATGTGAAAGTGTGAACACACCCTTTCTTTTTTACACTTTGTACAGTGGTTAAGAAAGTTTCCACATGACCTTTAATTCTTCCTATTAAAGGTTGTTTGAAAACTTTAATTGGATTTTAGTATTGGTATCTGGTGTGGCCAGATAATAAATATGACTTTTTTATTCCAACTATTGTACTCTGCGTCCTTAGAAAAGTAAAGAACAAACAAACAAACAAAAAAAACATGGCTATGAGGTTCTGCTCCTTCATTAAAGTCCATGTGACTCTATAAAGGCCTTTAATTCCCCAGTTGAACAAACCTAAGAAGCCCAAGATTCCCAGTCAAAGTTCAATTCAAGAAAGATATGATATTACAGTCCCTGACAAAAGTCTTGTCGCTTATCCATTTTGTAGAAACAAAAGCTTATAACCTCACTTTAAATTAATTGACTGGTTTTAGAAATGTCTCATATGAAAGCTAAAACCCTCCCAAATTATGCTCAATATACTAAAATAAATTTGCTTCACTGAAGAAAGATTGATCATTTAATGAACACAGAAAGGTCAGATTTTGGCAAGACAAAAGTTTTGTCGCCTACAGAAAATTTAACAAATAATTTACTTCAAATACAAAAATATGTTACATAATGTCAGTGAATTAAGTAGTGGTGCTGTGAGATCCATATTTAATATCTTGTATGACTTCCATGAGCTTGAAGGACTGCTTCCATGCGGTTTGATAATGATTCATACAATTTGTTGATGAAGTCATCAGGAATAGCAAAGAAAGCGTCTTAAATGCCTCCCAGAGTTCATCAAGATTCTTTGGTTTTGCCTTCCATGCTTCCTCTTTCATTCTACCCCAGACATGCTCAATGATGTTCATGTCTGGTGACTGGGCTGGGCAGTTCTGGAGCACCTTGATCTTCTTCGCCTTGAGAAACTTTGATATAGAGACAGAAGTATGCGATGGAGCACCATCCTGCTGCAAAATTTGACCCCTTTTATGGTTGGGAATGTAAGAGGTAGCTAATACTTCTTGATATTTTAGGCTATTGATATTGCCTTCCACCCTGCAAATGTCTCGCACACCCCTATACTGGATGTAACCCCAGACCATGATTTTTCCGCCACCAAACTTAACCGTTTTCTGGGTGAATCTTGGATCCATGCGGGCTCCAGTAGGTCTTCTGCAATATTTGCGGTAGCTGTGATGTAATTTAACCGAGGATTCATCTGAGAAATCCACCTTCTGCCACTTTTCCAGTGTCCATCCTTTCAGCAGGCTTTGGGCCTTGGCAAATGCCACACAGTTTTTTAATTGCCTTTTGTTTAGTGCTGGTTTCTGTGCACTGATTCAACCATGGAGGCCATTTCGAGACAGAATTCAAACCTTTCTGGTTAACACAGGGACTTGAGGTGACCAGGCCTGGTGGAGCTCTGCTGCAGAGGAAAAGGGGCTGGCCTTGGATTTTTGAATCAACAAACGGTCCTCCCGAGCAGTTGTCTTGCGGGGTCTGCCGGACCTGGGCTTGTCAAAAACATCTCCAGTCATTTCAGATCTTTTTCTTATTCTTTGTACTTAACGCTGAGACACATTGAAGGTGTCAGCCACCTCAGCAGTGGATCTGGTCTTCAGCCTCTTGATAATTAACGCTTTGGTCTCAGGGTGGATCTTAGGCATGTTGTCAGAGGTCAAGTTGCAGTTGATGTGAAGGTCTGGTGTGCTGGGGTTCTTTTTATACACACCCACTAATTGATTGATCAGTAACTGATCACAAGTGAGGCTGTAATCTAGGATTGGGTGCATCATATGACAAGGTGACAAGATTTTTGTCTTGCCAAAATCTGACCTTTCTGTGTTCATTAAATGATCAATCTTTCTTCAGTGAAGCAAATTTATGTTAGTATATTGAGCATAATTTGGGAGGGTTTTAGCTTTCATATGAGACATTTCTAAAACCAATCGATTAATTTAAAGTGAGGTTATAAGCTTTTGTTTCTACAAAATGGATAAGCGACAAGACTTTTGTCAGGGACTGTAGTGAGAGATCTGAGCTCATTAGAGCCCGTGTGCAGACAAGGCTCTGTACTGGGCTCTTTGTAACTTTCCATCCTGGCATTAAAGACTGAAAGTGATTGACTCTTTTTTTCTAAAACAACTAAATGCAATGCAAAAAGAGTTAAGTGCTGATGAGTAACACCTAGCAGTGCTACAAAGACAAAACACATTATAAACATAATAATAGTGGAGCTGTTAAGGATCAATTGTTCACTTTTATGGTACAAGCATGAAACTTGCCAGATTATTAATACCCCTAGGACCAACATTTCTGGATATGGAACCAAGATTAAGTCGACCCTGGAGCCAAGTACTGCGCATGTCACAAAATGACTCACATGAAAACAAGTCTGGGTGGTCAATTACTGCTTAAACCACCTTTTTTTTTTTTTTTTTTTTTGAAAATAGTGGTAAATTATCACATAGGTTATAAAGAAAAATATGCATTCTCAATTTTTGAAGCCATATTGGAAAAAAAGAACAACAGACTTATACTATAGGTGCTGTTATTCCACTCTCACTGTGTATGTATAAAAAATGCAAATACAAATATTTTAAATATAAAAAAACATATTGTGAAATATTGGAGCGTGAGATTGACAGGTGCAGCGTCGGCAGTGATGCTGTCACTGTATCAGACCATTGTGGTGAAGAGGGAGCTGAGCCGAAAGGCAAAGCTCTCAGTTTACCGTCAATCTACATTCCTACTAGGGCTGGGCGAAATGGATCAAAAAATATATCTCGATATATTTTGCTATATCTCGATATACGATATATATCTCGATATATTTTCAAGAAAAAATAACCCCCTAAAACTGAAAACTGCAAAAACAAATCTGCCAAATTCCACAAGGTCCTTTTTTTTTTAAATTGAAGTGTAAGAGGTCGGCAGTTCATATAGGAAAATTTAAGATTACAAAAAACCCTAATTACATAAATAATTTAACTGTAAAATAAAAGAAATAATACATATTTCCTTCTTTTCTTTCATAAATAAAACAACTCAACTCAAGCTCATCTTTGCATTAACTCTGTTATCCAAACCAGAACCATAACCATGAGCTTATTTAGCAGAAGAAGCTCAGGATGTTTCTTATTTCAACAGATCCATGTTCCTGTCCAGCAGTAAAGAGCTCTGAGGTTTAATCCCACAATCCACTGCAGATCAAACCCAACGTTTCCAAACACAATTGTACAAGTGACACTGCAGCAGATTATTAATTAAAAATATTCTGCATAAATAAACTTTACATTGCTAAAGTTTACAATATATAAAACATAACGACTCTGGAGCCACATCAGCCCGTTTGCGATAATAATGTGTTTAATGCAGTTTTGCGCACGTGTGTTTACATATTACAGAAACGAAACTTAAGCGCATAAACAGCGCACTTCTCATGCAGCTCAGCTCATTTAGCTTCTTTCGGGCTAAAGGACGCGACTCGGTGGAATATGAGGATGTGCTGTTGATAGTCTTGCCTGTAAATGGTGGAAAAGGTTCGTGGTGCTTGAAGCTTTTCACTGGCACCAACTTTCGGCGTTCACGGTGATAGTGAGAAGTGAAGGAGACACGAGCGAACAAAATCAGGGAGGCGGGGGCGCCCGGAGGCGATGAGAGAGAAGGTAAACAAGCGAAGCAGCGAAATCAGAATTGAATATAAGCATTATATCGATATATACGATATGTCAGAATTTAAAATATCGATATATCCTAATTCCCACCCTCACCTATGGTCATGAACTCTGGGTATTGACCGAATTGACAAGATAGCGGATACAAGCGGCCAAAATGAGTTTCCTCCGCAGGGTGGCTGGGCACTCCCTTAGGGATAGGGTGAGGAGCTCAGTCACACGGGAGGAACTCGGAGTAGAGCCGCTGCTCCTCCACATGGCGAGAATTAGTTGAGGTGGCTCTGGCATCTGTTCCGGATGACTCCTGGGTGTCTCCCTCGGGAGGTGTTTCAGGCATGTCCCACCAGGAGGAGGCCCCGGGGAAGACCCAGGATCCTCTGGGGGGACTATGTCTCTCGGCTGGCCTGGGAACGCTGCAGGGTCCCCCTGGAGGAGCTGGAGGAAGTGTCTGGGATGAAGGAAGCAACTGGGGTGGAAGAAAATGGTTGGATATTGGGAAAAGTCCTGGTTAAATCATATTTCTGATAGAGACATCAGTAATCCAAAAGCCTATCCATACAGGCAAAGAAGGTGACATGCCCAGGAGCACAATTTACAATGACAGTATACAGTGCTGCACGATAGATGAAATGGAACCACCAACCATCTAGTGGGAGAAAATGTTTGCATCTGTTTTTTTAAGAATTATGATTATTATTTAAGAAGAGTTATGGGGAAAATATTACAATGAGATAATTATCAGGGACAGTTGACTCTATTCTCATTCAAAGGCAGAAATTGACATTAACCCAGGTCAACCCTATATTTTGTGTTCTTTGGCAAAACACTTCACCTCCATTGCTGTCTGTCTGCGTACAGTATGAATGATTGTATGCATATTATATGTGAAATGTGAAGTGCACTTAGAGTGAAAAAAAAACATGACAAAAAAGTGATGTACACAGCCATCCAGCCCAAATGTGACATGATCGATTTTGTACCTTTACTGCCATTTCTTCTCCAAATCCTCTCCTGCCTCAGAAACAATGTATTTGAGGCGAAAAATGTGGCAGTTTTGGTCTGTTTTATGGTGAAACTTACAGCTCTTCAAATAGAGTTTATATGAATGTTTCTCCTAAAAAAACAAATCATGTTACTACAGACACCACCTCCTCCTTCACTTCCCCGACATGTTTACTCACTGGTGAAACTTGAATTTTAGATACGTCACAGTGTTTTTGATCAACACAGTGAAGTTTTTGCTGCAGCTAAAAGAGCAGGATTAGAGGACAAAACCATACAAGTTAAGGTCTAAAATGTAATTAAACTAAACTAAATATAAGTAAACTTGTGTCTCACTTTGGCAAATCTGTGTCATTCTCCAGTGGGCACCAAACACAAACAAGCAAACAAACTCAAGTAGTGAGGAAACCATAGTTTTTGGGGGTTACAGGTTGTGAGGAAATGGTGATCTTTGAGTTGTTTTTTGAAGTTGTTTAGTAAGTCTAAGTTTCTGATCTTGAGGGAGAGAGTTCCAGAGGGTTGTGGCAGCAATGGCAAAGACTTGGTCCCCCAAGGTCTGGTGCTTTGATTTGACTATGGGAGTGAGGAGATTTGAGGAGCTGATCAGAGTCTGCAGGAGTGGAGGGGCCTGGTTATTGAGCAACATAATGTGCTTATGACTTGAGTCAAAAGAAAACCAGTGATGGAGTATGTGAAAATTCTTCTCAAAACATTGGGAAGACATTTTTGCTTTCTTTCTTAGAGGCTGAGGTTCATCAAATACTTCTGCTTTCCCAGAATCACATGCTAAAATACTTATACTGCAGACATCACTTCTGTACACATTATATCTCCTGGGACATTTATTACCACAGCACAATGCTCACTTCTGTGTTTTCTAAAGGCTAACACTTGTTTGAGGTTAAGCCTCATTTCTATGCAGTATTTCATTATCATTATGAAATATGATAAGGCATTTACAGATCTTTAGAGATGGCTAAATGTTTTTTTGTTATCAAAATCTCAATAAATATGGCTTTGAAACATACAATCTTGTATTAACTTGTATTTCTACCACAGGGAACCCACACAACGCTTACATTCTGGAGGAAAACAGTCACGTGACCTCCTTAATGCTTTGGAGTTTAGAAAAAAAATAGTTGTTCAACATTACAAAATTTATAACTAAGCAAATTAGACAATAAAAAAGGGATTATGCAGTATTTTTTTTTGACAGCCTCATTTTCATGTATTACATTTTGTGACATGTGCAGTTCTCAGCTCCAGTGTTAAATTAGGCTTGGTTTCTACATCCAGAAATATTAGTCCTAGTGGTGTTGTTAATCTGGAAAAGTTTCATGCTTGTACCATAGAAGCGAACTATTTTGGTCCTTAACAGCTCCACTATAAATTAAACATTGTGAATTGTGACCTGCCTCACGCACTTTACATAATATGAATTATGTTATCTTGTCTCGTTCTCATGGATCCATCTCATGAAAATTGTCTTGTGAAAATTGTTTCTCATCCCATTCCCACTGAGCAGAGCTTCAAATGAAATACTTATTGGTGTATTAGAGTCTCTTATTACCCGTCTCTGAGTTACATTATTAGACATATCATATGTGCCTACAGTCCCACACCCATATACTTCATCTTCATTTGAGTGTCACATTGTATTGACTATAGTATGTAAAAGTATCCTTATTAAATAAATAAATCAGTTTTCATCATAATTTGGCACTGTTGTGGGGCTGAAGTGTGTTCAGTAGCAGTGAGGTGGCGTATGACTCATCATCAGCTGCAGACGTAGTGCCGGTCTTAGACATGGGACAGAGGAAATATACTGTATAGTGTAATGGCTATGCACTGACTCTGAGCTGTGGAGTTGGAGCTCTGATTATTGGTATGGACTGCATCTCCAGCAGTTCTTCTAAAATAAACCAACAGTATGAAGAGAAAATGCCCTGAAATGTCACTATTAGCTGTCAGTGCAGTACTCTGAACTAGAGGCAAAGGCTATGTATAGCACCAGAGTCGAGGATTTATTAAATAAGTTGTCGCTGTCACTCTGACACAGCCATATAACCTTGATATTTTGCATTTTCTATTTCCCAGTGGCTCTGCAGCTTCCAGAAGGACTCCAGATGTTTGCTTGTGTCATCGCGGACATTATTGAGAGGTAGGAACACTGAAATATATGAGTCACATCAATCCATCTCCAGTGCATATTTGATGAAATGCTAAAAAACAGAATAATGCTAGGTTGCGAAAGTTACTCCACTTCTTTTTTAAATTAATGAATAGAAATGTAATGATAAAGCATTTTTGATGATCCTCTCTGGTTCACAATTAGAAAAGAGAGAGCAGGTATTATTATGTCATTAATTACTTACTCTCTGGCAGACGACAACATCAACCAACATAGATTTTAAAGAGAAGTAGTTTCAAGTGTATATAATAAATCAAACATATTCTTTTCTTCAAGCCACTCCTAAATATTTTAACCCAAATGGCTCTCCTCATTTAACAGCAGCATGGTGTTTGGTCGATTCAAACCTGGTTTTGTGATGGACAAATGGAAGAATAGAGTGGCAAGAGTGGCAATGAATGTTTGTGAATAGCTTTATATTTGATTTTGCTCAGGAAATTCATATAATCATACAGCTGCTTCTTCTGTTTGTGCTTGACATCAGGAAATTACATAGTTATGCAGTACTTAATAATCAAAAATGAATAAGGTTTTAGAGGAAGTCTCTCTGTATCTCAAAATCACAATATTGGTATTGATATCAAGGCTCAAATCCTGGATATGACTTTTTAAAATAGCTATGTATATTTTACTTTTATTGATTCCTGCTGTAATTGTATATTATATTATATATGGGCCTCTATAGAAAAGCTTTTGAGAAGCTATATATATCTATCTATATCTATATCTATATCTATATCTCTATATCTATATCTATATCTATATATATTATATATATATATATATATATATATATATAGATATATAGATATATATATAGATAGATATATAGATATATATATATAGATAGATAGATAGATAGATAGATAGATATAGATATAGATATTGCTTTTGCCAACATTGAGAGTTTAGTTAAAATATTAGACTGCTTTGAGGATTTACAAAGTTTTACAAATGTATAAACCTTGCCAATATAACTAACAGAGAAGCTGTATAGAGCCAGGTCTGATGAGTTAGTGAGAAAGCTGTTGTGGAGGCAGTTGGTTCTTGGAGGACCATGGAGGAGTTTGTGATTCAGCACAGCATGTGATGGAGGCCATCACCAGTGTACCTGTTGTCTCCTCTCATCTTGTCGTGCTGGTTGTATCTGGCAGCGTACAGCCCTGGTGGTGCAGTCGTCCTGTCAGATTCAGAGGGTTTGTAAATTAAAAAGTGTAGTATCCAGGTGCAGTCTCCTGTCCATCAGAACACATGCTTTATATTGTGCGCGTCAGGTTGAATCATTTGTGTAGAGACAGCAGCCCACAGGCTCATGGGTAAATGTCAGCTGTGCCATTAGGAAAGAGTCTGGTGGAGCCTCCACGCCTCCTGCCCTCACACCACCAGTCCTCACTGCGCCTACAGCACAGATGCGCTGTATCTCCACTCTGACAGATAGTGTCAATGTACCGTATACATTATGCAACTGATCACATTTAAATTAAGTCAACATCCAGTTGTGTATAATCACCAGTGATAAGTTTGAGGCATTTACAGCCAATCTTCTTTCAGAAGTTAATCAAAGGAATACATAGTGCTGTGTTCTGTGTTAAATGGTATAAAGAGTGAGTTTTCAACCAGTCACTTATAGCATGAGCTCTAAGAAATGCTCTCGAAAATGGTGATATCACTCTCCACTATGATGCATACATGTGGCAGAAATTACACTGAAATACTTGGTCTAATTGCTTGCTGTAAATTGAGTTTTGGTACGTAAGCTGCGTTAATAATCTGTTGTTGTGAATCTGCATGGGCACCGATTGCAGCTTCATCTGTCAGTGCGGCCCGCGGTAGGGGGGTGGGATTGTGCGTACATCTACCGCGGGCCGCACTGTCATTATTCTTTGGAATTAAGTGGAGGGCTGCAAAAAATCCTTCCGAGGGCCGCAGTTGGCCCCCAGGCCGCGAGTCTGAGACCCCTGGGTTAGACAGTATTAGTTGGGTCATTATTTTAGTTAGAGTTTAAGAATTTATGTGGGACTACAGCAGACAGGAGAATGTATTGTGTAAGTTAGCTGATTGTTTGGGAGTTACTATCTTAGTACATATAAATACAGTTTCCTTGTTTAAATTGCTGCCTTTGTATGAACTCACATGCATGTCTTGTGAATGCAGTTTGGACAAGATACATTTGGATTTTTATTTTATTTTTTTTTGCCACGCCCTCTTTTAGTAGCCTAATCGGTCGACAGGGCATATCCAATATTTTTTTTAGTTGACTAGAGCCCTACCACCCACAACAGGTCCCTGTGCCTGTCTATCTTCAGCTATAGCCCTCCCCTATTTGTGTGTATCATGCCAAGGCTGTGGCTCTGCTCCACCCTCTGGTCACCTGGATCCCATGTGATGGAGAGGTACATCATGTCCAGACACAATGGGAGTTCTGATAGGTGCTGACATCGTGTAAAATAATTTCTTGACAGGATAGCACCTTGGAAATGTGCTCAGCCGTCATGAAGGAACAATTGATTCCCTCAAGAAAAGACGTAAAAGTAGTGTCTGTGTCATGGACAAGACTGAACATCACAAAAGATCTATTTTATGTTTTTTATTTAGCTCCAGACCAGTCCTGACCTTTGGACTTGAGCATGAAAATGTTAAGACAACTGTATTTTCCCATTATGATATTATTGTTGACCTAAATGTGATCTTATGTTGTGTTATAAAAAAAAAAAAAAAGTAAATAAACACATCTCTGCTTAATTATATTTCATGAGTTAATTGTTTTCATTTTCAGAACTGCAAACTTTTCTGACAGGTTAGCACTGTTTAACACAAAATCACAAAACGATATTATGTTTTAAAATGCTCAAAGGGCCTATATATATTTTGCTGGTTTACAGTCAGTCCAGAGACATAATGAATAAGCTCTAGTCATTGTAAGAGTTGATCCAGTGCAGGAGCGTTAACATGTGCTTTCCCCCTGTGGAGCAGCACTAATACCCTCTATCTCAACACACACTTTGGTCTCTTATCCTGTTTCCGGTCTTTAGCGCTCTCAGATCTGATAACCAACATATCAAACCACATTTACTGTCCTTTATTATTTTTGAAGATCCCCAAAAAAGATTAGCTACACTGCAGGTTGTAGGCTCCAGAGATTTCAAATAATAAGTCATAGCAAAATTTGCCTAACTGCTTTTATGCAGCAAATTGAATAAGGCTGCTATAAATAACATGTAGTTGTGTGTGTTTTGTATGTCAGATAGAGGAACCCTACATCGGCTTGACCTCTTGTTCATGAGAGACACATACATGGCATGACAACATTACTTGATCATTTAATCTTCCCACTGTCAACTGACAAATGTATTTTTTATGAGGGACTAGTTTGTGGGTGAAGGTAGATTATAGATGATCCTGATCCTGTGGTCAATCTTCACTTGTACACAACAGCAACTCAGAGTTTATTTGACTTTTATTGATTTAATTTTAGTGGGAAAAGATTATCTCTCTCCTTGCTATAGTTGAAGAGAATGTTGAAACTCAATGTACCATATTTAAGCACTATTAAACCTCCCTGTCGCTGTGCCAAATGACATCACGATGTCAGTATTGTTAACATTTGCAAACTTGAGCATTAATTAGTTATTAACAATCATGTTATTGCTAGCATTCAGTGCTCAGATTCACTGAATGTTTATCCTTATGTCTCCTTATTTTATAGACATACTGGTTTATCTTATTTTACAACAATTGGTGTCTTGAAGCGCTTCAATAAAAATTGTATAATTAATGTATACAAACATCAATGCTATGATTTATTTTGCTTGTTAAAACACTTGTGCCAGTGTTGTCACTATAATCTCTTTTGGTGAAAACACAAATCAACAAATTTAATATTTTAAAAGGAAAAAGTGTAGTTTTATTATTAATTACTGAATATATTTAACTTAACCTAACTTCTGTTTATTGCCAGTAATATTAGCAGTATTTTCCTCAGAGGAATTGATTCCTTAAACATTCAGAGGTGAGGTTGAGTGACAGGCGTGTGTTGGCACACATGTTCATTTGAGCTGTCTGTCTGCAGAGCCTCAGTGGCAGCAGCTCAGAGAAGTGCTGCACACCTGCACCCACCTCGCTGACCTGCTTGTCAGTGTGTTTCCCAAGAGACTGCTCTGCTACATCTGCTATTATTAGATCAGGGATGCAAAAGTCACACAGCCAGTCCAGACCATCTACACAGATACAGAACAGCTAAAAGACAGGGGCGGTGAGGGCGCATCAGTGCTGTCCTCTTCCAGGAGGGGGTCAGGGCTAGTCACATTATTATAGAGCATCATACACGTACATGACATTAGGTTATGCCTCCTCTCATATTTCCATTTTACATGTTTTAGGTGAATTTTGGTGCAGTCCATATGTATATTATATCTATATTCCACAAATTTGCAACATTCACTACAACATTGGTGAGAGGAGAGTGATGAACTTTTCCGAGGAGAAACTGAAAATCACACCCTAAAGTATTCAACATCGTTAGCCATTTCCTTTAGTTTCTTTTCCTTTAATACTCTGCTACCAAAGTTGCTGTTGAGTAAATTAAACCATCACTGTGTCAAATAAGGAGGCATGCAAATGGGCAAATTGTATTAGCACACCTGTTGACTGCAGCTGATTGGAGTTTCTGGCCTTAGAAGAATTTTCAAAGGAGATAGTTGGAGAGGATCCATTGTTGTTAATATGTTTTGATTCTTTAAAGCCAAATGCTGTCTCCCCTCAGCTATTTTTGAGCCCACCTTTGTGCATTTTATAAGACTTTTATTAAGGAGGAAATCTCATCACTGACAACATCACAAGGTGGAGTGTGTCCAAGAGCTGTGTGTTTCTCTGCAGTTTTCCATTTCAAAGTTTGTTTTTGAAAGGTTTAGAAAGTAAATAAAACAGGTCAATACATGTGAAAAAATAAGGTTGTAGATTGATACTATGTTTAGTTGTGTTTGAAAACTACGGCAATTATTGTATTTCTATATTTCTTTAAGTGTCACTGCTCATTTGCTTTGAACACCTCTGAACTTGATGTTGACTAGAGCTGCATAATATAACTTACTATTTTTGATATTTCAAAATGTAATCTAGTGAGGCTTCAGGTAATAAAAAAAACATAACTGTATCCTAAAGCCTGCCCTAGTTTGTGTGTAATGTGAATGCAAATATGTGTAATGGCTCTTTTCTTTTCTTTGGAGTGTGTGGCTTTCAGTCAGTTGTGAAATGTATGCCTTACTTTACTAGTCAGACTGATCCAGATAGAAACAATACCAAGACCAAGAACATGGTTAACCTGTCTTTAAATATATGTATAACATAATGAATAAAATGTATTTAATAAATGGACCATGCTGTCTTGCTGGCATGGTGATCATCTTTAGGATTGCATTACATTTTTGGAACAGCAAGAGGTAAATTATTATTTCATATGTTTACACATTTAGATTGTATTCTGAACAGGCATAATGATTGTCCAATGAGTGTGCAGCGGCTGGTGGTCGTAACTCTCAGTGAATCCTGTAAATGAACTGGTCACAGTCAGTTTTGTATTGGCTCCTAGCACCAAGCCCATTAGTTTTATATCAAAGTTGTAAATCGCTTGGCAATTTCTCACCCATATTGAATTGTGCGCTAAAGACCTAATTACCAAATGCAGTTATGGAGTTCACAGACTTGTTTGACATCTTAATTAGATCTTAATGGCGTTTCAGTTGCAATAGCTGTGGTAGGCCGATATGAGTCAAGCCAATAATCATGAAGGGGCACTGAAATACACAGGAGACACAGGACAGATGCAGAAATAGGGGAGCACATACCACAAAGTACATGCACTGTGAGTCTGACACATTGGAACATCATGCCCTTGGATAGTTCTTTTCCCAGTGGGATACAGGCTATACATTGCATGGTAATTATCCATGTCCTGGTAGCATCTCATGTCTCACATAGGCCTCCTAATCACATTCTTCACATTTATTAGCATGAAATAATACTGGAAAATAACTAGAAATGCATGCTGCTGCCCAAGAGATGACTTACTAATGGTTCTGCTCTGTGTTGCATAGAAACCTGATTAGACAGAATAATGATGTGTCATATTGAGATTTCCACAGTGTAAATTGTCTTGGGGGTATTGGGAAGTCTGCTGATGCATGTCATAATATGTACTTACTTACTGCTTAGTTAAATACCTAATATGGTAATGTGAAGTTATTTATTTTCAGTTGCGTTATGAAAATGAAAAAAAAAAAATCATAGAATGTAAATTTAAAAGACATTTTAGTATTGTGTGACAACGCTGTATCAAAATGGATTAAGTCTGCCTGTATAAATGGAGAGGGCAACACTAGTTAGCAAGACCTTTAAAAACCTATGTGTAAATTGTATATTGTACATTGTCACCGCATAGAGAAAGTCAGTTGGTTTACCAGGCAAGAGCCCTAAACCCTCCTACATGTTCCTACATGGACAAACTCAATATCAGTCTTTACCGGAGAGGCTAATTGATTCCAATCTACAGGATATTTGAGGCTAATGTTAGTTTATGAGCTGTGCTGTTTTATCAGTGTGCGTGTAGCCTTGGGCTCAGCTGGTCTATGCTGCTCTTCACACAAGAGCTGATATTAGAGGAGAAGGGGCAGGCAAATAAACAGACCCCCTCTCTACTCCCATACAAAATATGATGAGAGTGTCTCAATAAAAAACTAAATGAGTTGATCGAACTCTGGTTTTAGTCAGCGCTAAATAAGACATGGTTGTTGATATAAACCCTTGGCTTTCACAACATACTAAAATATGATGTCATAAAATCAGATGCTGTCCCCTTTTGTCCGGTCTAAATCTCTAATACCAGGCTGGGTGAGTCCATTTACAACCAATTACATGCTATACTTATCACTTTTCTGTATTCTTTTCCCACAAAGAACCTAAGCTTATGTAATTTTAGACAAACTTTATTGATCCACATGGGAACACAATCTAACCAATTACAAATGTAAGAGCAATTAAATAACTAAAAGCTGCGTAAATGAGATACAAAAATACTTCTATGTACAAGTAATAGAAAATATGTACAAGGTGTGCTCAGGAGATAGTGTAACAGAGGTTATCTTTTACATTAGGGTGAGCTGTTGTACAGCTGTACAGTATATAGAGCAAGATTCCTTATTTGATTTAAGAATGGCTTCTCTCCCATGTTGCTTCTCTTCCAGGAAATGGTTCATTTGAGATGATGAAATCTAGCTGTAAACAGTTAAAGCCACAGATTGTCCTGATGTTTCTTATGTCCAGCTACATTGACCGGACCGGGAACGGACCTTGACTGGACCAATTTAATCAGCTTCTGCTACTGCCAACTCTTGCTCTTCTCAACATTTGTCTGTTTCTAGAGCTAGAATAACTGATGATTTACTAACCCTCATCTGCAGCTGAACACAGACAGCGTGTGCTTTACAGCCATTGACTGGTCATAAGGAGCTCAATTATGGCCATGTCTAATTTTGTTATACAGTGACTCAGCTATTGAGTGACAATACTATACACTGCTGTCTGGACCGATTGCACTGCATTGAGCAGCGGCTTAAAATAGTTGGTATAACGTGAGGCTGGAAACTTAAGTGGTACTAATAAACAAAACAGTAGTTGCCCCTTTTTTGAGTGATGAGGTAATGAGGTAAACATTGTGAAATGGTATAAATGTAGATGTAATGTTCCCATTCCCATTGACTATATATATATGTATGTATATATGTATATATATATATATATATATATATATATATATATATATATATATATATATATATATATATATATATATATACACATACACACATATATATGCACACACACACACATATACATATGTACACATATATATGTACATATATATATATATATATGTACATATATATATAGAGAGAGATAGATAGTGTGTGTGTTTATTAGAGACACAACACTAACATGTCTGGAACAATTTGGGTTCATGATTGATCCCATTCAACTGTCTCATAATCACATTGTACTTGCTGTGATGTCATCTGCATTGATCTCTATGGTAACCAGCAACAGGAGGCAGCAACGGTCTTTCACTTCAATGGATTGGGACTGATGAGTGTCTTTGTACATGTGTGTAGGTTCACGGAGGCAGACACTATTGTGATGGGGGACGTGACATACGGGGCCTGCTGTGTAGACGACTTCACTGCTCGAGCCTTGGGAGCCGACTTCATGGTGCACTATGGCCACAGTTGCCTGAGTGAGTGTCATTTTAATATGTTTTTACTCATTGTCAACAGCAAGCAGGTAGCACAGCTGAAATCAGCGGAGACAAATAGCCGTATCTATCGATCAACGGAAAAATATAACTAGTTAGCACAAGCCGCCTACCTCCACAATGGGAAAGTGCAGCAGACCTTTGGAGCCTGGACTTCACATTTCTTCAGTGGATCAATAGAGAACATGCATTAGAGTCGTCCTTTGAAAACCTCAAGCTGTTCTTTAGGGCCTTCACCTCACTCCCACTGTCTGAACATGGAGGAAATGCTAAATCAATACTTTTGATACCTCCCCGCCACAATAGCCTCCCCTTTTCAAAATACCAGAAATAACCAACAGAATCTCAATGCTTCCTGTGCTTCATCTAACTTTCCTCTCTAGTGTGGTTAATTCTTTCACCTAGGGTCAAGCTGCGGATGCTTCATATTGGCGACACGGTGGCTGAGTGGCTAGCACTCATGCCTCACAGCAAGAAGGTTCTAGGTTCGATCCCCAGGTCACCCGGGCATGTTTCTCCCCGTGTCTGGATGGGTTTCCCCCATCAACCCAAAACATGCTATACAGGTCTCCATAAAACAGTTGATAGTCATGGTGAATTAAATAAAATCAATTCAATCATTGTGTCCTTAGGCAAGACACTTCTCCCACATTGCCCCAAGGCAGCTGTGGCTACAATAGTAGCTTACCATCACCAGGGTATAGAGTGAATGAATAATGCTGAATGAATAATGCTGTGTAAAGTGTCTTTGGGGACAGAAAATGTCTGTGAAAGTGCTATATAAATACTTACTTACTTACTTCATATCAAACCAGTGAATGCATCTAATCACAAGGCACAAGTTTAAGTTGAATGTCCAATTAAATATTCTTTGCATTTCTTTTTGTGTTTGCTGAGACTACAGCACATGAAATTTACATTTTAAACTAAATTTTTATACAAAGGTTTGATTCTAGATATAGATTTTGATACTTTAATGGCTGTGATTTTTGACATATAATATATTATTGATAATATTATGTGGTTTGTAGCTCTGATAGATCAAGCTAAGGAAATGTTGTCCACTGTGTGTTTTTTCACTATTGATACTTCATTGGGTATCTAGTTTTGATAATTTTCTCTTAGTATTTTCATTTTTTGTCAACCCTGGCTGATTCATTTCCACATAAAGCAGCGTGTTTGTGTGCTCCCTGCCTGTCTGTCTGTTGTGGACTGTTGGACACCTGTGGCAGATTAAAGACACTGACTCACTCGCTGGGACTGCCTCTGCTGCTCTTTTATTCTCTTTTCATTTCCTCTGGCACATATCTACACTTGAATATTGCTGCCTTCTCATCTTTTGTCATCGTAGTGCACCTTCTGCCGAACATTGTGTGCAGAATAACATTTGCTGTTTTTTAATGTAAATCGTCGAACCTTGCACCTGAGTCCAGTTAACCAAGAAATATCTGACAGAAATTTGACCTGTAAAATGACCAAATAGACACAGGGGCATAGTGTTTTCTTGGCAAAAATAGGTTTTCAAGTGCATCTTATGTAATAATATGGAAAAAAACCTGTGATTAAATAAAAAAATACATACACAGATTTTTCCAGATAAAAATATGCATTAAGTGGATATGATTAATATATTAGAATCATTTTGACATACTCTGCCACACTTGGCCACTGTAATAAGCCGTGACAGTTACTGCTCATATTTACCACGATTTTCTATCAAAAATCAAAAAGTCAAGTTTATATTTCATGTCTCATAATACCTCTCTTCAGGGTCATTTGGTCTAACCTTTTGTTAGTTATAGTTTCTCCATTTGTTTTTATGAGCCTAGTGACATTACAGGTGAAATGTACAAATGACTTAAATCCTTTCTCAGTTTTGATCATCTATTTGACTGCAACTCTGATTACACCTTTTAAGTGCTCTTTGACCACTAATGCAGATCAATGCCACTCTTCTTTTTAAGGGTCAATAAGCAAGCAGCTCACCTAAATGTAAACCAGGATTAACTCAACTTTTCTGCTCATTTCTAGTGTTATGAAGTTCCTCCAGTAAAGCCCACCTCTTTAAACCCCCTCCTGTTACTTCCATTGCAGTTCTGTGACGCATGGACCTACTCTACACTTATGGTGCCCGATAATTGACCATTCACATAGCTCTATCTCCACAACTCATGGTATCCTATTACTTTTTCCACTCCTTTCTTCTCCTCCCATGCGTTGTAATTCACACAGATAAATCGTTCAGTCGTCCACCAATTGAACTGCTCCCTTTTCCAGTTCACCTTCTCTTCATTCCTTCAGTTTTTGTCTGCTATTGAAGAAATTATATTGTACGTTTAAAAGAACACATTTTACAGAAGCAGTTCAATGTGATATTTTTAATTTAGTACATTGTGCTATATTTTTGGTTCTTTCGTTTTATTTCCTAAAATATGCAGGGTGTACAATTGTCTGGATTTGAAGAGTGGAAGGGTGTCCATGTCCCAGAGGTCCAGAGGGAGAAAGTTCTAGAATTATTTGGCTCATTTTTCTATGGAGAGCCAATGAAGTTGTAGTGAAAATGGACATTGAGCTAGGAGAAGATTAAGCCAAGCTGAAAAACGTGAACAATGAATAGGAGGAGCCCCAGGATAGAGTCTTGGGGCATGCCAGCAGACACAAGGAAGAAGTGAAGACAGAGGGGTGAGTAAAGCTGGAGAAAGTTTTTGAAGGGGTTTACTGGGGAGACCTAAACGAAGAGTGTGAGAGAAGGGTAGAAACAAGAGATATTACAGAAGTGAAAGTAGGCTAAACGGGTAACTTTAGAGTGGAAGGAAAGTGCACTGTTGAAAAAGATGCACAGAGACTTGACCTGAGTACAATGAAAAACAGTAGAGCTGTTACTGGAAAAATTGGATTTAGCAAGAGTGGAAGAAGTTCCTACAAGCAGATAGTTTGAGAAAATATACAAAAAGAACCAGGAGTTGAGTAACTGATTTTTTTTATTGGAGAGGTACCACTGAGATAGAGAGTAGTCTCCAGAGACTGCAGCTCCAGATGAAGTAAACTGTAATTGGATATCTGTAATTTTGGAGGACATGAGTCAGTGTAAGAAGTCTGTGGATTGAATGTGGTGGGGGGAGTAAATCAGGGCATATAGTGATGTTTAATGTGATTATAATGTATTAGATCAGATTGTGTGAATTTGGGTAAGGACAGACTGAAGAACTGATTAAAGTCTGGCTTTGGACTTTGCTCTTGCCAGCTTGACCATTGATGGTAATCTGGATATCTGCCTGGATCTTCACCAGGACTCCCTTCTGGACTTTTTCCTGGGCCTGTTCATGGACTTTCTCAAGGATCTGTTCATGGACATTGTTCTGGGGCTGTTTGTGTACATGGATCTGGGCCTTGTCCTGGACTTTGTGCTTAAGTTGTTTCTGTATTTATTTATTTTTTTGTAGTTTTCTTCTGGCCTTGTTCAGGACTTTTCTTCTGAACTGTAAAATTTGGATCTTGGTGTTTCTAGACTCTTTGTTTTTAGTCAGACTCTTCTCTGTCTGTTCTTTGGTTGACTCTTGAGCCTAACAGGCATTTTTCAGATCACTGCAAAATAAAACGATAGAATGAACTTTGTTGTTATTGCTGTAAAAGAAATCACAGCAACATAATTTGTCATGGAAACAAATTGTGTTTTTAATAAAGCGTTGAAAATACCTGTGACCAGTGAGCTATGTGTTGCTGCTGCTGTGTTTGGAGTGACTGGAGATGGACTGATTTTGTTTTGGACAATGTGTGAAGTTTCAGATCACTGCAAAATAACTGACAGAATGAACAAAACTGTTGCAAAAGGAATCACTGCATCACAATGTACCATGAAAACAGGTGGCATATTGTAATCTGTGTGTTTTAAATAAGCGTAAAATACCTGAGCAGTGAGCTGTGGGCTGCTGCAGCTGTGTTTGTGTCCAGTGACTCTTGGAACTTTCTGTTTGAGTTGTCTCTGTATTGTCTCCAGGAATGTCCACTTGGCTCTTTTCAGGATTCTTCTTATGAACAGCAGAATTTGGATCTTGGTGTGACTGGACTTTTGATTTTTCGTTGGACTGTTCATGGGCTGAGCTGCTGTTGCTGTGCTTGTGTTTAGTCTCTCCTGAACAATCTGGTAGCCTGTAGGACTGAAAATGTTAAACTCCCGCTCCTCTATCCTGCTCAGGACTCTCCTCCTCTTGGTCTCTGGGAGGACTCTGTCCAGAGTAGGTCTGTTCTTCTTCTCGCCACTCTTCTCACTCATTCCGATACGTTTGGCTGAGGCAGGACCACAGTCAGAGTCAAGGGTCATCCAACATGGCCGCTGTCTCTTCTGCCTTCTTCTCTCCACCTGGATATGCAAACGTGTTGCTGGTGTAGCATCACAGTTGGAGTCGAGGGTTATCCAACATGGCCATTGTTTCTTCGGCCCTTTCTTCTCTGCCTGCTGATGTTTGGCTGGTGTAGGAGCACACTGTGGGTCAGTGGTTGTCCAGGGACCAGGGTGTTTGGTACCACTTCTCTGATTGAAGATCCTGCTCCAGTTTGTGGATGGAGACACATACTTGGGGGCAGTTGTCCTGAAGTAAACAGTGAAATGCCCAGAGTGGACCAGATACACTGGCTGTAAGAGGATGCATGTTATTTTAGATTAAGGAGCTTTAAAATAAATGTAATTACCCATTTCTATTTGCAGGCAATCCTTGAGGGTTGTTACCAAAAGTAATTATACACATATTATATAACAGATCACACTGTACATCAAAGTTAGATCACTCTTTGGTTTCAAAGTTAATTTACACTCTGTTGTGGACTGGCCTTACCTTGTACTTGTTCTGTTAAGGCTGGGTTGTCACAGTGAAGGGCCCAGATCTGATCAGATACACTGGCTGTTGGAAGAGGGTAGTTGTCAGCATTTTGTCAAAGAGAACATACACACATGCTAATTGACATAACATCAACTAATTGAAATAACAACTTTGGACGCGATGCCCATGTATAGTACTGATCATATTTCCAAACTGAGACTTGACAGTGTTCTGTGGGCTGGCCTTACCCTGTACTCTCTCAGTAGGAGTCCCTTTTTGGAGAAAATTTGGTGACCTGATAGCATTATTGATTATTTAATTAAGTTATAGTTTAGTTTTAGTTTATTTATTTAATGAGACAGGGACAGTGCACAATCTACATTAACCTTAACAGGAGAGATGCATTGTACCAGGTTGTAGCACCAGTGCTAATTTCCACCTGTAGTCCCTGGGCAGGTTAATTGAGTGTATTTAATTGATCTCAGCTATCAGCTTTTCTTCTTGGAGACCTATGTAGCATGTTTTTGGTTGATGGGGGAAACTAGAGCGCCTGAAAAAAAAACCCATCCAGATATGGGGAGAAACATGCAAACTTCACACAGAAAGGACCCAGAACCTTCTTGCTGTGAGGCATGAGTGCTAGCCGCTCATTATTGCAGAATCAATCCATGTATATGCTGTAGAGAGCCTTTTTTGCTTGTCCGCTTTTCAAATTTCAAAGGTTCGCCTAAATTATAAGTCCCAAAATCCACATCGGAGTGGAAAATTCTGTCTAATTTAACATCCTAAATGTTAGAAAAGACTGATTTAAATGTTTTAAAACTTTTGTGCCGTCACTTGAATATTGAATACTTCCATATATGTTCATCCAAAAAAAATTTGTTAACTGGGTAACGCCGTGGATAATACCTCATAAATCTGCAATGATTCAGTCTATAGTCACAAACTCAACACCACAGTGAAGCCTTAGCCATTACATTTTTCAGGTTTAACTCATTTCTTTAAAAGTATCATCCTGTTTTACTTCAAACCCAGTTTCAGAACCTTTCAGACATCAACTGGATAGCACACATATTTTTGTAAAATTACATAAAATTTTGGATTTGGTAACAGGTATGCAGCAATAGGCCATGGTAATGTGGGGGTTGTCTCACCTCTGTAATAAACACAACATCCTAAAATGTTGCAAAATCTCAAATGGGTATTGCTTCCCATAGACTTCATTATAAAATCGGCATTGTCCAGTTGACATTGGTGATTTAGAGGCAGTTGTTTTTAGGCTTTTGAAGCAGATTTTTCTTACTTTATCTAAAGTGTTGAAGCTTTTTCATTCATGTTCAATAAATTCCAGATTTCATCAAACACATTTGAAAAATACTCATATCATCTGGATCTTTTTTGGGCCATAATTCCTTGAGTATTTGGTTGTTTTGTATAAAAATGACAGAGGGCGTCACTCAAATACACAATACCCAAATACAACAAATAATGTATATATGTGTCATTTTTAAAGTTGTACATGAAAGTGTAAGTGTCAGTCATGGTGAGCATTCATCATTAAACTGATCAGAATTCCCCGTTTTGAATCAGTCACAAAAAAACACTAGAGCCAGTGTCAAAAGGACAAAAAACCTTTCAAAGAAATCTGATATCAAAAGTGTGATACTTTGAGAACATATCAATATGAAGTGTCAATGACCTGTTCCCTAGTTGACAAAATAGTTATTTAAACACTTTTAAAACATGAGTAATTTTAAAATTACAAAAGTTTAAACTGACCTAATAATTTTTTATGTCCCCTCGGGGGTCTATTTTGAAAATATGTAATTATGTTAGCAACAAAACAAAACCTTTTTTTTTTTTTTTTTTTTTTTTTATTGAAGGGAAATGTGCCCCTGATTATAGAATCACCCTTAAAAATTTTTCTCAGTAGAATAAGAAACTGTATGAAACTGTCAGGACAACTGTGATATGTTGCTGGTCATTTTCTCTAGAACTCTGGACACCAACAACTTCTTCTGGATTACACGTGTCATCAGTACTAATTGATACCACAACTAATATTGAAACTAGATACTAGGCCTGTAACAATAACAGATTTTGCTGGATGATTAATTGACCAAGAATTTATTGCGATAAACATTTTGAGACCATTTTCAACTTAATATAATGACCATGGAATAAAAATGCAAATACACCCTCTCAAAGATCAATAAAGAGCATTTAACACAGGAACTGTAAGACAACCAAAAACAACAGGCCTAAATAAAATAGACTTGTTAACATAAAAATAGCCTAATGTAGTCTGTTATTCAGCAAGCAGCAAAAATAAATTTGAATAAACCATTGCTAAACCATCCTCAACCAAAACAATAAATAAATGGATTGTTAAGTCTCTGTAACAAAATTGCCCATAAAAGTTATTTTAGTCATTGAGTTACATTGGAATATTGTGGCCCCTCTCTCTGTGTCTGCTGCCGTGAGCCTCGTCATTTTGGTCTTGTAGTGTTCGTATTAACCCACTCTACATGATCCTATTTCGCTATGAGGGAGCTGCTGTCCTGTCTGGTATCATGCCGGTGTCTTGTGGGATTTCAGTGGATTTCTTACTCTCTCGGGGGCCATACTAGTTGTGTATGGGAGTATGTCGGTTGCTGGGGTTTGAGCCATTTCTTCTCGATGTTTGTGCGCTCGCCATTAAGACATATCCCACTCACTAGTGTTGATTTGGCATTAGCACACAGTGATGAACTGTTTTGGTTCTGACAGTGGTGCTAGCTTTGTGGCTTCATATTATCCACACAGACAGCGGTGCTTTCTGCACTCAGGCTGCGCGCGCATCTGCTGTGTTGATAAACAAATAATCTGTCTAGTCTACGATGGCACATTCATTCAAGCATCATTACGTTAATTAAACGAGAGGAGTCAGAGGGCGATAGAAGCCTTTTGACATTCAGTCTCTTTGGTAGAGAGAGAAAGAGACGAGAAAACAAGCATGCAAATCGAATTTATTGCGTCCAGAAAAGTTATCGAGCTCGTTAAAACTTCGAAAAAATCGCACGATTAATTGATTATCGTTACAGACCTACTGGATACTCTTTTGAGGAAGTAATGATACTGCAAAAAATCACTTTAACAGGACAAAATTTTAGTTTTAGTATGATTTTGACCTCATGCTAAGATGAAGAAAGGACTATTGTTATAATATTGTACCTGTTCTTTTTTTAATTATGGGTTCACAGCAATCAGAGGTGGCACGCCTTATGTCTTACTTCCTTATCAGGCTTTTGCTCTCATCTTTTCTCTGCCCTTTGTTTTAATCCAGACCATTAAGCAATCTGCATCTGCTTATAAAATATTCACACAGTAATGGCCCATTTGCCTAATCATAACAAAAAGCCTGCATTTTCTTGCTGTCCAACTAAACTACCAAAAAAAATACAGATAATTACAATAATGATCCTAAATGACAATTTATCTCCCTTATCCTTGCCTTAGCCTGCTCTAAATGGACTCTTGCCTACTTTCTCTACAAATCTAACTCAAACACATCTTGAGCTAGCTTCCTCTCCTAGGGCCTGGTGCGTAGGAAATGGTCTGTGAAATTAATAGCATTAATAGTAATCGCATGTGTCCTTCTCCTTCCCTAAATAATTGAGGTCTCTGCATCACTTGCCTCATGTGCAGGGCCCTGCGCAGAATGATTTTGAGTTATAATGCGATAGAGCCTACTGCTGAGAAAAATACATATTGAATACAAACCTTTAAAGTCATGTCTGCAAACATGTGCTGTGTGTTAATGTCAAAGCTTGTCATCAATGGTGAATACACTGCAGGCATACCTGACATAACACAGTGAATAATTCATTTGTCTTCACTTTGGTCTCTGTCTTTCTGCAGTCCCTATAGACTCCACAGCAGAAATTAAGATGCTCTATGTGTTTGTGGACATCCAGATGGACAATGCACACTTCCTGGACACGGTCAAATTCAACTTCACCCCTGGACAGTCTTTGGCACTCGTCAGCACCATCCAGTTTGTGGCAGCTCTGCAGGTAATGGAGCAACAAGCGACTTTTGAAACAATGTATTTTGTGAGTCAGAATCTGAACACTTTATATTTGTGTAAAGAGAGAAACAGTATTTGGACAACACACAAACGCACATATAATTATTTTGGTCTTGAACCACAATGTTGTTTTTGGTGTGAATTTGAAGGTTAGGAAACATTTATTTTGCTTTAGAAAAAATGTGAAAAATTTAAATCTATGCAAACAACAGCAAGGACAGTAGCACTTGAGGATTGGGAAAGCATTACAAAGAATCGCAATAACACTTTTCCTTTATGTATTTTAGCTAATTTCTTCCCAATTACTACTGTGTGTGGCAAATCTCCAAATTATTGTATATTTTACAAAGACAATGACTGGGAATAATAATAGAGATCAATCAAAATATTTTCATCGTCGATACGGTTTGTTTAGAATCCATAGAAATCGATGTCTGTTAAGATCTGCGTATATTTTTGTGATGCTTTGTTTTACTAGTATCATTTTTGCAATATTCTCATTGGACTGACATGTTCAAATAAAGCTTTATGTGTATATTCTTTATGCATATACACATAAAGAATATATACATAAAGCTTTATTTGTGTGTATATTCTTTATACATATTTAGGCAACTGATTCTGCCTAACAAAATATCTGCATCCGCTGGACATTCAAGGCCGATAGCCGATATGCTACAAGTGCAAATAAACCCAATATATCGGCCTATCTCTAAGCTTTACTATAAATGTTTTATGAGAACTTGGCATTCACCTCAAATATGAGCCTGAGAGTTATTGATGCTTTTGGATCTAAAATGTGCATTGAAGTAAAACATATGAATCCAGCCACAGTGTGATTCCTGCTTTTGTTCACTGCATAAGCAGCAGAAGCAGCTCTATATAGGCTCCCACTTGAGTTTTCTGTATGTTTGCAGCATTTCTCATGTTGAACCAACACCGCTCTGTTCCTACACTGACAGTCATGTTATTTTTAAACTCTGCTGAACCGTGTGGGTCATATCTTATGCAGCAGTGTTGAAGTGCTTCTGTGTGTATATTGGTGGATATAGAAGCCTGGCCTTGTAGTTGATCTAAGCCTCTATATTTTTCATGTTTTTTATTGTGTAGGATTCTTGAGGTTAAACTGTGGGTGGAAGGGGCTGATCGATCACTATTATTACCCACTCAAGCATTTAAAATTAGTTCAGTACATTTCATTTCATCCTACCTCCAACCACAGCTAATTGTTGCTCTTACTAATAAATATAGACTGGTTGACATTGGGCTTTTTTGTAGTTTAAAATGTTTAAATTAAATGTAATAAATAACCCCTATCATCCCAGTCTTAAAGAATCATATATATATATATATATATATATATATATATATATATATATATATATATATATATATATATATATATATATATATAATAATTATTTTTTTTGTTTTTTTTTAAACATAATCACAAAGTTTTCATGATCGTGACGTCGCCCGGTATGGCGCAGCCGGGGCCCTACCCTGGAGCCAGGCCTGGGGTTGGCAGCCAGTGCCTGGTGGACAGTACCTCTGGAATGAAAGATTGGGGTGGTGGTGCCTCTGTTTAAGAAGGGGGACCAGAGGGTGTGCTCCAACTACAGGGGAATTACACTCCTCAGCATCCCCAGTAAGGTCTATTCCAGGGTACTGGAAAGGAGAATCCGACCAATAGTCGGAACCTCGGATTAAGGAGGAGCAGTGTTGTTTTTGTCTTGTTTGTGGAACACTGGACCTGCTCTACACTCTCCATCGGGCGATCGAGGGTTCATGGGAGTTTGCTCAACCAGTCCACATGTGCTTTGTGCATCTGGAGAAGGCATTTCTACGGAGCCCGCCCGATGACATCCCGATCACGTACGCGAAAAAAGATATTAAATCGTGGCCTCAAAATACTATTTCGTTCCCATCGGGCGGGCTCCGTACATTTCACCATGTCCCATGCTGTATTTGCATTTGCTTTGCTAACAATAAGTCAGACCTCTTCCCGGTGCATGGTGGACTCTGCCAGCGCTGCCCTTTATCACTGGTTCTGTACATTGTATTTATGGACAGAATTTCTAGGTGCAGCCAGGGCCCGAAGGGGGTCCTGTTTGGGAACCATAGGATCTCATCTCTGCTGTTTACAGATGATGTTGTCCTGATGGCTTCATCAAACCAGGACCTCCAACATGCACTGGTTTTGGAAGCGGCTGGGATGAAACTCAGCTCCTCCAAATCCGAGGCCATGGTTCTCGACCGGGGAAAGGTGGCTTGCCATCTCCGGGTGGTGGAGAGTCCCTGCCTCAAGTGAAGGAGTTCAAGTATCTCAGGGTGTTGTTCAGGAGTGAGTGTAGGTCGGAGTGTGAGATTGATTGCGGTTCGGTGCAGCGTCTGCAATGATGAGGTTGCTTTTTTGGACTGTTGTGGTAAAGAAGGAGCTGAGTCAAAAGGCAAAGCTCTAGATTTACCAGTCAGTCTACATTCCTACCCTCACCTATGGTCATGAGCTTTGGGTAATGACCAAAATAACAAGATCCTGGATACAAGCAGCCAAAATGAGTTTCCTCCAGAGAGTTGCTGGGGGGTCCCTTAGAGATAGATTGAGGAGCTGAGTCATACAGGAGGAGCTCGTAGTAGAGCCACTGCTCCTCCATGTTGAGAGGAACTAGCTGAGGTTGGATGGCCTGGGCATGTCCCATTGTAAGGAGGCTAGAGGGAAGTCTTGGCCTCCCTGCTCTGTCCTGGCCCTGGATAAAGCAGAAGAAAATGGATGGATGGACAAAGTTTTCTTCAAAATAAGTTTTCGTTAGCTGTCTCAGATTTTGACATAATCAGATTAGCTGTACAAATCTATATCTTAAATTCTTCTGTATTGTTTTTGTATAAGAAAGAAAAAAAAAACTCTTTTCTATTGTGGGTTTTGTTTGTTTCCATTGTTGGAGCTTGTGTGGAGGCTCAAGGTTGATGTGAGCTCAACATTTCTTATTGTTTCCCTGCTTCTCTGTGCTGCAGGCGGTGAGTGCGGCTCTCAGGCCTGACTATGATGTGCTGGTTCCCCAGTGTCGACCTTTGTCACCAGGAGAGATTCTGGGCTGCACCTCCCCTCGCCTGGACCACCACGTCAATGCCATCATGTTAGAACTCTTCCTGCTTTTTCTGTTATTTATCGGGAAATCTTGACTCATCCCGTCACTTCCCACCTGGTTTCATAATTAGCCTGGCGATTGTCACACATGTGGCATGAGCCCACTAGAGGATGACATCATTCTAGTCACCAGACCTGGCTCAGTCTGACATCTAATCATGCCTCCAATAAGGCCTCCAATACGCCCACATGGAAACAGCCAAGGGTGATCCAAATGTGGGATGACTAAAACATCATTATACCAAGCAATACTAGGAAATGTAAAAAGGTGGAAGTGTTGTCTACTTTTCAGACAAAATACTGTATAGAAATATAGATTAATTGCTACAACTCTAAGTATGCACTTATTTTTCTTATTTTCAACTCTTCAAACTTCTTTTAAGTAGGGTAGTAAAGTGAAAGAAAAGAAAGAAAAACAGAAAAAGCACTGGAAGGCACCATATTGCAACATATCTGTGGAGTATATCTTATGCAGCTAAATTTCTGGTTTAAAGAGTGCATTCTCTAACGGTATGGTTCTTGTCATTATTGTACCAGCACGTTTATTTTTGCAGAAGCAAATTAGAAAATGTATGAGTTACTGTTCAACTGATTTGAGCATGTTGAAAAATCTGTAATGTGAGGCTCATTACTGCATTACTTTCAGAATTCAGAGAGAGAAAGTTGTTATTATAAACTAATTATTTTTATCTACCCTAACCTGTAACTAACTTCGCAATGTGCTATTAAAAATATGAACTAATTTTGTTGAAACTACAGGCAAACATCAGCATATTAATAATGAGCAAAGCAGCAGGTAACCCTCTTTTAAAGAGCTTAATGATGTTGGGTTTGGATTACTCAACCGGTGCTGTTTTGGCTTTGAACCTCAAATTGATTTTATTGTACACATCCTTATGTCTAATAGAAAGTACTTAGTGGAATGTATTATCATTCATTGTGGAGAACGTCGGAGCCTTTTAGAGCTTGACAGTGCAGCAGGATTATTGTTGGAGGAATAATTTTCTGAAGGCTGTGGATGTTGCTAAGCAGTAGTCAAGCTCAAGGTTATTCCGCCCTGTCATTCTGTTATTAGAATTTATGCACACGCTCATATAGGTCCAAATATATATGGCAGACGTGTCTCTAATTTATATATCTATAATCCACCACCACCTGCAGCATGTTCCTGGGTGTTCTAAACGCTGGCCAATTAGTGGGTTTAATTGCACAGGCTCTCTCTATGGCACTTGTGAGACTGCAGTAATGAGGAGGGGTACCAGGCGTAGACCTTAGCCTAACAGCAGGGATCCTCTCACACTGACCTCAGGAGGAAGGCTGCTGAGAAGCTGTTCTACCTGACCATGTATTTGTAGACACCTACACAGCCTAGTGCGTACTAGTAGTGTGTGAACTCTGCCCCCACCTGGTCGAGGGTTAATTAGAATGGCTTGCATTGTCTGTAAACAGCAGACTTCAATCATTAGGGTCATGTATCCTCCCATGCAGCCTCGGGCCCTTCTTTCTAATTTAAAGCCTTGGTAAAAAGCCTTGGTAAAAAGCCTTGGCAGCGCTGGGATTGACTAAATTGGTTTATCAGATACGGCATACTGCGCACGTCCTGTCAGAATGTCACTTATGTTCTGTGACCTGGATTTTTCATGCATGTTTTTCCAGCTATCTCGGAGATGGAAGATTTCACCTGGAGTCTATTATGATCGCAAATCCAGACGTTCCAGCTTACAGGTATTGTTTATTTTGCTTTTCTAATATGTGCAAGTGTATCGAAGCTATCAATTTAAAAATACAATATATAAGTCAATATGTCAAGGAAGGAAGGATCGAATTAACCCTTTCATCATCTTGCCTAGAACTGCATCAGAAGTTTTATTGTCATTGTCAGTGAACAAAATTCAAACCAGGAACTTGCATGGTGTGGTGCAACATAAAGCAGTTAATAATGGTAAAATAAAAACTACGAGAAAATAAGGTCATGCATAAAAAACAAAGTGCTGTTAAATCAATAAAAATAGTCTTAAGACTTAAAAATAGACTGTTTGGGATTATTTTAAATTAGTTAAAATTTTCTTAGGTAGAATACACTAGACTAAATTATAAATGCACATGTATTTTTGTACAGTCTGTTCCTTATTCCAGTGTCATAGCATTTTGCAAGTGCCTATTTGTATTCTGTGAGATAGCATTGTGTAAAAGATGCAGTCCTGAACAAATCACAGGTATCTCCCATAAACAAGATTTTAATCTCAAGTGAAGCCGTTGTGGAGCTGAAAAGGAGATTATGCCTTTCCCCGAGATGCACTAGCGTCACACTTGATGGGTTTTCCTGATTAGATTTTATTAATTTTTCCCAACTTTTGATGAACAACAAAGGTGTGGCATTTCACATTTGGCTCCATTTTAAAACTGTGTGTCTCTTCTTTGCACATAGGTACGATCCCTACAGTAAGGTGTTCTCTAGGGAATACTATGACCATAATGCCATGCGAGAGTTAAGGCTCCAGGCTATTGACAAAGCTCGCTCAGCCCAGAGATGGGGCCTGATCCTGGGCTCACTGGGGCGACAGGGCAGCCCTAAAGTCCTGGAGGTGAGTTTGTGTGTCCTCATTTCGACAGTAGACATGCCCTAAGGCTCTTGTGCAATGGTTTGTAACAGTTTCCAGAGGGCTGGGCTCAGACAAGGTGTTTGGTGACATGTGGTTCTAATAAGACTTGACTATCAAACTAGGAGCTTGTTCTCTCCTATTTTAGATAATGCAGCTATTAGCATCACCTCTTATTCTGTCTTATCTCTGTATTTAATATTGTAAATGGGACTTTGTTCTTAATGTTTTGCTTAGGGAATTAAAGGTTAAATAAACATTTTAAGTAAACCACTGGCAATCAATGAGAAGTATAATAAAGAAATATTCATTATAGCTTAACCGTTTTAACACAGCATTTTGTGAAATCTGATTTCTTTCAAGTCCTCATAGAGTTTTACCACATTAGTTTGTTGTATCTATTTCTATCAAGTAAACAATAAATATTATAAACTGATAAGGATGGATATTGTAATACACATTAAACTCCTGATGTAACACTTCTGAAAGCTGTACTCCATTAACCAAAGCCTTCAGTCTTCAAAGGTCAAGCCTTCTTCTCATTAACTGAAAATTGATTATCAGACTGGTGGTAGACAGGAAAAGTAACATTAAAATCTGGCTCTATTTGAGACATGTTTTTTCTGCTTAATTCCTCAGCACCTAGAATCCAGACTGGAATCATTGGGCAGGTCCTTCACCAGAGTTCTCCTGTCTGAGATTTTTCCCAGCAAGCTCGAGTTGATGAGTGATGTAGACGCGTAAGTACAGGGATCTGAGCTCCAAGGCTACACCAGTCAGATGTAGGGATGGGAGATATATATATCAATAAATAAAAATGTCTTGATTTTGTGTTCACTAACAACACAGACTTTAAATTACTGGCATTTAAAACAAAAATAGCCCAGTTTCCTCTTGAGTACAAACAGCCAAGCATATCAACGATGAATCATGACTGAATCTTAGTCTCCATTCCAATTTGATTAATTACCCAGCCCTTGTCAGATGTTCTAGAGATGATGTATAAAGACCACTTCATGCAACGTCCTCAAATATAGTTCGCACTATGTATCCATCCTGAACTTTTACCATATCTGATTGTCAGATGGACAATCATCTTTTTTTGAGTTGTGGATATGTGTAAACAATAGTGGCTTGTTTTCACCCCAAATTATGTAACCACCACATGCTGAACATTTTCTTTATTGAATGCATGTACAGCTGAAATGATCTCTTAGGCGAAGACTCACAGCAGTCTCCAAAACACCACTTGTTCCACTTGGTAAAAGCAGCACACATTTTTGACTTGGATTAATCACATTAGTAATGCCATGGCCCAGTCTCTCCCTCTCTATAGCTACCATTTAATGCAAATCATGACCTTCTGCCATACCATTTTCTACTAAATGTATTTAAGTATTCTTAGCAGTGAGTTCCACATCTTTGTCTCATTTTAAAACTTTTCGCTGATTTGCCTATTGTCATTTTCATAAACAATAGCTAATTTATCTTTGCAATCCTGAATCCTGTCAAGCTATTTTCAGACAGGCTGCTGCTGAAGTTCAATCAAATCAAGAAGATTTCAGATGTATTTTGTATGCGTCAGAGCACTCATAATTGGGTCATCAGCACATTTGTAACGGTCTTCTAAAACCAGACACAAGTATTTTACTCTGTAAAGTGTCTGTTTTATGCTTGTCTTTGGGAACTTTCATACTCCCTTATCATTGTGAACCTGAATCTGAGAATCTTAGTCATAACATAAACGCTTACCAGCTTGTCAAAAGAATACTATTTATTGATTTTTATAAAGAAATACAATGCTTCTCTACATGCTTTGAACGCTACATGATCTGTGAAATGATATTTGGCCAATATGTTTTAAATATTTCATAAGATTATATTAATTCACACATATATTTTGTTCAAAAAGGGCTTCAGTTTTTGTGGAATTTTCATTACGAAAGACATATATACAGATATTTGCCCCTGCTTCATTTTGGTTGTGAGACTCGGGTGACAGGTGTTGTTTACTCAATTACCTCTCTCTCTCTCGCTCTCACTCTTGCTCTTGCTCTTTCTCTTTCTCTCTGCAATGATCAAAGATGACATAAATCTATTCTTCCTCTGTGGAAATCTTGAGTGTTGAGGCACCCTGGTGAGGTTTGACCACTTAATCTGAGCTCAAACCAGGAGCAGGAGTCAGTGGATGGGCCATAGCTTTATGCTAGGCCTGATGTGCAACTGCTCCAATCACAGTAGCACCTGGCCGGACTCTCACCCCCACCCCGTGTACTTCGACTGGCCTCTCACATGGGCTAGTGTGCAATGTATCAGATGCACACTGACAGAGACAGAGAAGAATTTGCAGAGGTAGATGAGGAGGTGGTGTAGGCACCGCATGTTCATGGTAACAGTTATTTTTGCTCCTCTGTGTCTGATAACTTCATCATACATCAGGACACTAAAAATTAATTTTAACTTGATGCAAAATGTAAATGAACTTTGGGTGTTAAGTCATGTTTTCATTTGCAGTACTTGGCACATGATATCAATAATGCCATACATATTTAATCATTTTTTAAAAGGCAATCTACTCTCCAAACTACCATTATTGTTATAATCATAACAGTGAAAATATCTATTATGATTGTAGCATGTATTGTAGTGCATACACAAGTTGAGTCTGTGTTGTAATGACTTTTGATGTTTTTATGGATTAATACATTAAAGGTACCATCTGTAGTTAGACTGGCTGACCCAGCCCCGTTGTATTCTCACGTATCACCACTAGATGTTATGTATGTTACTGCTGTCTGATGTTGTGCTAGCTCTGGCCTAACAGAAGAAGACCAGAAAGCATAGGTGAGCCTGAACAAAGGCCAGGTGAGGGGAGGAGGAATGGGACAGCAGGTTTCACATCGACCATCTACTGGTTAATTAAAATTTAATAAACTTGCAGTTTTAAGTACAGTTTTGAAATAATTTGAGACTGAGCCCTGGCTTGCTGAAAAGTTTGTGGATGCTGTGAAACCCTGTGCATGAGTTATAAATGGTCCATGGTTGTAAATGGTTCAAGCTGTGCACAGTCTGTGATGGTGCAGCGAGTTCTATGGAGAACAGACTCATTGAGAGACAGACCGGGGCGTGGAAGGTTGCATTAGTGTTGAGCTCCAGCCGACAGTGCACTGAGCCCACCGCAGGCTTTTACTGTCATTAGACACACTCTCTCTCACTCATAAAGAGAGACACTATTAGCATATTCTCTTAAGTGTGTAATTATGCTGTCCCTAAGCAGACTTTAAACCATTGTAGTGATATCTGCACACCGTTCGCACTTATCTCAAGTAGACCATAAATACTACCCACAACTATGATGTCTTCAATGTTTTCATTTAAAGTATGGTTTGTGCCATGTAGTAGGAAATTGTTTAGAGGTTTCAAACATTCCTCTCATAATTCTCGAGTATTTTTAAAGGTTAATTACACTTGTTTTAGTGAGTTAAGAATGAAAGTGTAATTGAAGAGAAGCCATGCAAATAGAGGTGTGCCTGTGTCACATCAGGGTGTAATGGTCCACAGCAGGTGCGGCTGGAGGCCAGAGCCAGAGTTTACAGTGCATAGCTGATCTAAATGTCAGGCTTTGTATTTCACTGTTACAGATTTAAGTAGGACTTGACAATCTACTCATTTATTTTTATTATTCGTAACTATGGTAATTATTACTGTCAGTGCCACAGTGATCAAAGGCTATGAATGAAAGAAAGAATTAAGCAAAAGACAAGAGGACATAAGAAAATGTCTATTTACTCTAAATTCAGATGACAGTAAGGTACTACTTACTAAATTATGCAGCGTATGTGTAATTGTTAATATGTTAAAACTGATTTATACCTTGCGCTTAGGTATACGTTTTTGTCCTCTTCATTTGACCCATACTGTAGTGGCAATTTAATCCATCAAATTAATCCCTCCACGATATTTTTCTATATATCTATACCCATCTATGTCTATATATCTATATATCTATATAGATATAAATATAGATATATAGATATAAAACATTTGTATTACTTTGGAACATATGAAGAGTATTGTACTTGATCTTACATTAGGTTCAAACACTGAGCATCTTACAGTCTATAGAAAGCAGTTTTGTCTGTATTGAAGTACTTTGGCCTCACTTTACACAGAACTGAAACATTTTATCAATCTCCAATTCAGTCAGTGTGTGTGCTAATAATAGAAGAGTCCCTTCTGGCGCTGTGTGCCAATCAGCTCAGTGCTTCTCAGGAGGCCTCCTCCCTGCTCTCCCTGTTACGCCTTGTGCCGCCTCCCTCCCTCACCACTTTCTGCTGTAGCCTTGAGGAGAGAGAGAGGAGTAGTCTGCTTTAATCACTGCTCATCTTTTAGCCATCCAATAATCCCCTCAGCCACCCCCATGGTCCTGATCCACACCATGTACCACCACGCAGGCTCGATTATACCAGCGAAGTGGCCAATTTAATTTGAGGACATTTACCTACGCTTTGTCAAGTCCTCAAGCAGCACCTAGGAGTGAGATTTAACCAAAACCATACAATCTGAGCTATTAGATACAATTCTATTCATTATTATTTAAATGTAATGGACAGAGGTTCAAGTGGATAGGATATCACTTGAAATGTATTCAGTGCGCATGTTCAATATGACTTGTGTTTGAACATTCATAACTCTTTGATATTTACATAGGCCTGGGGTTATCTGTGAGCCCTTCACATTCACATAAGCTGAGACTCCATGTTTGTCGATATCCCTGATGGGGCTCGATCAGTAGGATTAGAGACAGACCAGGATGTACGTGTTGTATGTGCACAGATGATAGCTGATCTAACCCTGATCACCTGGACAACTCTCCGGTCACTCCTCTGCCTCCATTTTCCAATTCTTCATTTTGTTTTCCCTCTAGCAGTTTACGTCCAAGCACTCTTCATTCTGCTTTCATGCATTTTCCAGAGTAAACAGTATTGTTTCTGTCACTCTTGCCCCATCTCTCTCTCCTCCCTCTCTCTCTTTGTTTTCTCCTCATTGCTCCCCCTCTATCTGTATATCTGCGTCCTCTCACCATAGGACTCTTTTCTTCAAGCCCCTCGCCCTCCCTCCCCCGCCCTCCTGCGTCTGCTAGCTATGTAGGCTACCTCCGTGGAGACCGCCCTGGTGCTGCGTTATTCACACACACCTCACCTCTTGCTGTCTTTTCCCTCCATGTTTTTTTTTTTTTTTCCCCCAGCATTTTACCTTTGTTTACTTACTTGTTTACCTTCTTTAACCTTCTAACACACCCATTTCCACAAACATATTAATTATCTTCAGTATGACTTTTTACTTTACCCAACTTACATCGCAAGATCATTTACAGGTATAGATTTGAAATGAAATCAAATTAGCATTTTGGGAGACTTTTTTTTTTCATTGGGAAAAATTTATTCTCCTGTAAAAATTATATTATTATCCTTATATATATATATATATATATATATATATATATATATAAAAAAAAAAACTCTCATGGTATAATAAATAATAAGTATAAAAATCATGTATTTTCATCTTTCTCTTTAGGTGGGTCCAGATTGCTTGTCCAAGACTTTCGATTGACTGGGGAACTGCCTTCAAAAAACCACTACTGTCACCATATGAGGTAAAGCATTTACTGGATTTATTTTATTTATTTATTTTTTACAAAACAAAAGTACATTATACCCTCAGAACATAAGCTGTCTAGTGCCATCTACTGACCTTAAGTTTCTTCCTGCTGCCACAGTCTTCATTACGGTTGTCAAACTATAAGAACTAGAGACTAATACAAACTTAAATTAGCACTGAAATTACACCCTCACTTGAACACTTATCAATACTGCATAATAACATAAATAGGGCAACATATCAGAATGGTGTTGGTCTTGGTCTGTATCAGAACTACTATAAGACCACATAGTATTATTAAAGACACTCTTATTATTTTGTGTTGAAAATTACATTCTATTGTCTACAAAAGGGTGGTTTAATATCACTGTGATATAGAGATCGTTATAGAGTATTGCCTTTTCATTTGTATTAAAATGGTGTTTGATAGTAGTTTACTCTTTTAGTTTACTCTTCATTGCCCTAAAGGAGGAGAGATTTATTGGTGGTCTCCACATAATGATCCATCTGAAGTATTTGTTTGTGTGCGGCTGGTGCAGTCGTATAACATACACGCTCTGTGATGATGGCTCATGATGTCACACCGTTGGGTCACAGCTGACTAGAACTATTCATTCATTCACAACATTTTCCCAAAGGTCTTTACCTCATTTCACCTTTTGTGATGTGGTTGTGTGGGGGATGGCTTTATGTACTATAGAAAGTGTGCAGCAAATGTTGAGAGTTGTTATTGTGGGTGCAAACTAAATATGCCTTGATAGGCAACTAAAATCTGTTTTCTTTAGCCTTCTGTTAGAGTTGCCCGACAGCTATTTGCAAATTATACATTTAAATAATTTGCAGTACCAAATATGTGTGCTTATGTGTGTGAGTGTCGTAAGTTCCAATTCAACTCACGCCTCTTTACATCTTGGTGTGGGTGCTTTTTATGGTGGCATTTAGTAAAAAGACTAAGCGCGAAGAGAGGGGAGAGGGAGGGAAAAGGCTGAAGGGAGAGAGTGGAGGGTGGGAGTGAGGGGCAGAATTTATTTTCAGGCCTCTCATGTTATATTTATAGTCAATAAGACACACTTGGCTCTCCTGTCAGAGCAGGGATTAGCAAGAGGAGCTAGCATCCACAGAGAGAGATGTGAGAGAGGAGCCAGAAGAGGAGTCACTGGGTCAGTCACTAATGCACACCCTTTGAACAGTTGAACAAATGAACAGTTGGATCAAAGACATTTTTTGCTATGGAATAAATAAGGTGTGGGTTTAAATATGGTAGAGCTGCATTTCAGATAGCTACAGCTACCCGGGGCTACAAAGTCAAATTTACTCACTTAATTTTAGTAGTACTTTGTAAATAAAATTCATATTCTCTCCTAAAACAATCCTCACTCAAACCAGATGTTGCTTAACTCCACTGAAGTTTATATATAAACTTGTGAGTGTTAAATGTAATGATATGAAATGGCTTGCCTATGTTATCAGGGGCTAAAATACTCCCTACAGTGGAAGCGTAGCAACACTTTAATGGACAATAGCACCATAGTATGTTGAGTGTTCATGTCTCCAGGTCCTACACTGATGGCAAATAAAGTTGTTCATGGAGATTTTTTTTTTTTTTTTTTTTTTTTACACATTAGCAATATCTGTGTAATCAGTAATGACTTGTACTTGATACTTGTACTTGTATTGCTTGGTCTCTACAGGTCCTGCTGTCTGGTCCTAATTATAACAGTTTCCAAGATAATATCTTTAAAAAACTAATGTTGTTAATGAATAAAACAAAGTCTGTTGTTTTTGTTTGGTATGGTTAGTCTGTCAGCTCATCTGTTGGATCAGTTAAACACACTTCCCGTCTCTTACAATCAATATTCACTGACTTGTCTCTCCATATGGAGCAGCCTGCTCTAACGGCACCGCACTGTCATAGCAGGACTGAAGCTCTTCATAGCAGCTGCTGCATCATGCAGCGCCGCTGCATCGGGCTGGCATGTTTAACTACTTTATGCCCCTGCTTAGAGCAGTCTCAATATGGAATGTATTTTTGCCTGGGGTTTACCAGGAATCGTCTCATTTAAAGAATAAACAGCACACTGTATCATGATACTACCCCAAGCATCTGCGCACTGAGCCTCTTCCTTTGTTTCATGTTTGTTTGTGTGTCTGTCTGTCAGGCAGCTGTAGCTTTGCAGGAGGTGAGCTGGAAGGAAGTTTACCCCATGGACTTTTACTCCAATCAGAGCTCTGGGCCATGGACGCCCAACCACCCTGACAACAGGCCAGTGCTGCCCACGCGTAAACAAGCCCCGGTGAGCAGCAGCAGATAATGGGATGAATGACAGTGCACACAAAGGCTAAAGTAAGGCTGTTAGGAGAAACTTGTGCCTGCTGCTCTAGTTTAATGGCTCTTATTTCAGCTCTCATTGTTGTTATCACACTGACACCCAGTGGCACAGTTACCACAGCGTATGCAGTCACAATTATTGAAATATTTACTTTGACCTTGACCTTGCATAAGAAATCTAAAGGTACTAAGACAATCAAATTAGCTAGAATCTTGGCTGGATATTCTGCTAATTGCTGCTCATTGTTGTGACCATATTGCCCTATATTTTCACTAATCTGTCTGAGGCAGGTTTGTCTCTGTTCCAACTGCTAATGCTCCCCTCCTTTCTGCAGAAACAAGGCTCGCAGCCAGTCTCAAACAAGCAGTGTGACCGGACCCAGTGTGCCCCCTGTGGCTGCCAGGGAGAATGACACTTCAACTCTGCCTTGGACAATTTCATGACACTACTACCTCTGCTGCTGCTGGCGGCTGGAGGGAGGTCAATGCAGAGTGGCCATTTCTGTGTCAGAGACCAAAGGTATAGAGTCACATATAGATTACTCTCTGAATAATCACTTCCAGTGTCCACAACACTGCTTTTTTCATTTCACATTGCATTTTGTTAGTGGTTCTCAAATTATTTGCACAAAATAACACCTTAGAAAATATTTGACTTGAGTGCCACCAGATTTAAACCAGATCTAAAACATAACTATATAAGGTCTAAGGTAGATTTAAACCAGGTCTAAAATTGGACTTGAATACTTCTAAACTAGGACTAACATGTACCACAGTCTGAGATGCATTTTTATTCTTGGCATTACAGATAACAAAAGAAAAGCCTAGACAGTGATATTTTTAAATGTTCATGTGAATTCACTTCCCATACAGCAGCCTGTTCACTGCAGTGTTCGTAGAAGAAGGTTTTTCTGTTCTCACACTCAGAAATGTGTAGCTCTTTCAGATGCACAGAATCATGCGTTTCTCTAACTGACTGAGACCTTGAACGAGGTGATGAAATAACACATATAATGTTCACACTGGTTTGAATTAATTTGGCTGTCTTACATTCTCTTAAAATAAATGTGTATTATACTTTATGGTATAAAAAATATATTGTTTATTTAAAAAGGTTACATAAAATATATCATAAATAAATAAAAAAATCTATTACCAGAGTTTTTGCCTTCTTGATTCATATTTTAATCCATGTGTTTCAGTTTCATCTATTTAAATAAGTGCTGCAATGCTGAAGTGAAGGACTTGTTTATAAGACTAAGAGCTATGAGTTTTCTTGATGCATGCAGCGCTAGTCACGACTGCTCTCCATCCTCATAATTTATTGATGCCAGGGTCTGTCAATAAGTAAATAAATATATAAACATTCTTTTGCTCATTGGTTTATGTAGCAAAACAGTACAGCTGAATGACAGCTAATAGGTCCCGCATGTGATCCAAGGACATGTGGAATCCTTAAGCGCATTTACATGTTTATTATGTTCAGTTCTTTGGTGAAGTGGAAACAGGCTACAGGTAGATATATGTGTATGACTCACGTGAAGTCCATTATACGAAAAATATCGACAATTACCATAGGAATAGTACCAAAGCATCACTTTGCTGAGAATGATCAATTACATGTAATAATAACATGTGTTTATGTTTGGGCATTTAATCACATTTAACTTCAGCCACAAAAAAAAAAAAAAAAAAAAAAGTGTTGTGGCAGTTAAGAGCTTTATAATTGAAAACAGAGAGAATTAAGTGTTCAACCATTGAGATGTCTAAATCTGATAGGGACATGACTATAAACTGTTGACAACTACAACATTTCATTCACATCTCTGCTTTGATTGGATCTGCTTAGCAACATGTACTGAGTAAAGCAATTTGTTTCAGCAGATGTCTGGTGTGCCTCACGTGTCCCCCTAGTGGCCGCTGATTTAAGTGCTCTGAACCTGCTACAGTACAGCAAGTGGTGATTCACACTGGTCAGGAATAAATTATTGGTCTGTTCAGCTCACGCCTGCTCATCCAACTGATGTTTGATTCATCTGCTGCACCACATCAATGGTAAATGAGAGAAGCCTCTCAAATCCTCTATTCCTATGCCTAACCAGAACTCCAAATATGTGTCTGGTACTAAAAATGAATCGCTTTTATTCCGAATTAATCAAGAGGAGGAACATTGTAAGCCCAGCATTAGAGTGCAGGTCTAACCTTCATACATACATACATGGACATGAAAATATATTACCAATGTTGGCTGTTAAGGTGAAGAAATTAAAATAACTCCTACTGTTATGTAGTCCACATGGGACATAACAAGAAAATTACTGATAAAAGCATTTTGTTGCATTTAAACTGATCAGTGCTATTGGTCTGCATTTGTTGTGTACCGATGGTTCTCTTCTTGTCCTTCTCTTTCTTTTCACTCTATCATGAGCAAAAATCTTGAAGATATGACACATGGGATGAGTGAGAGGGATTGAGTCTATCTCAACATATAGTTTAATATATACCGTTTAATTGGTTTCAGTATGTATTAAACGGTGGTATCAATCAGCCTATTAGTATTATTTCTCATGTATAGCATGTTTTGTTTATAAGGGACTGTTTGTAATACCAATGTTCAGGACTCCATCTAGTGGTTCAAAATGATGTAACAGAATGAGACTTCAACTGTGAGAAACCCTTTTTTGTCTGCATAAAACTATACATACTTATACATTTCAAGCAACGTCAAATTTGTTCAGGATTAATTAAGTTGACTACAGAGAGAATTTGCCATACACTTTGCATTTTAAAAGATACTACATCAGATGGCAATGTTGACAAGTCTAATGTTATCTAGTCTTTCTTTTCAGACTTTTATTTGAACAATTTCTCATATTGCTTTCTACTGTGAATGACTGGACAGTTAGCCAGTGTTGTGGAAGGTTTTGTGAGTGCCTAAGATTATTTGTTGGAGTGTTGTAAAAAGATGAGTAATAATGAGTGGGAGATCCGGCTGTCATCAGGCCACAAGTCACCTCCGATTTTACTGAGTAATGTTACTGTGGCCTGTGGAGTGAATACAGCAGAACTAAACCATTCTAAAGACACAGTGTCAATGGTGTAAGAAGCATATAATAATTGAGATTAAAAAGGATTTAGATTTTTATTAAACTTTGAAATCATATTACAGATCATTAAAAAACATTAAAAACCTGCAGCTGTGAATCATCTAAACTTAAAACATATCATGATCATACATTTGGTACAAGTTTCAAACTCTCAGTTCACTGAGAAGATGTGTTCTTGTAAACATCAGAGTTAAGTCTTTGAAGAAACCACTTCTCTTGATTAAAAAGTACATGCACTCTGCTTTGAACTGTTTGTCCTTGGAAGAGTTTATGTTCTGTGCTACACTCATTATGGTTCTTGAAGCTGCTGAAAATATATTTCAATAGGTTTTACATAATAAATATTGCACAAGGACCTTGATTTAACCTTTGTCCCTGTAGAACAAATCTGTTAAACAATATGCACTAACTGTGATCTAACATTTTTCCACTGCACTTTCTATAGTCTACACTTCCTACAGTCATTTGCTGTGTTAAAATCAAATTTCTGAATACTACTACTAACCTTTATACTATTGTATTTGACTGATTCTAAAACAGTTTGCTCCTGCATAGATACCATAATGCTTTGTACATGGTATGGTTCATTACTGCTGAACCAGATAATGAAAGTTAGGGTTAGGGAAACTTATTTTAACTGTACTAGTACAACCAATAGTTTGGGGTATGTACATAACCAGGTTAATGGTTGCTTAGTTATCCAGAGTTAACTAGAATGGAGTTGTCCTCCTGAAGTCTTTTCTATTTATTTTTATTTTTTTATTTTATTTTTTTATTAACCACTTTGTCTCATGGTTATAGACCCTCCTCCTTCACTGCACTACAGATCCCAGAGTCCTTAGCTGCACATTTAAATCCTGAGGTTTCACAAGCTTCTGCCCCTTCCCCTTCGTTGCCGGCTTTGCCCCCTAGCGACCATGGCTGTAGACTGTTACCAGTGGTGCTGTTGCTACAGTAACAATCTAATGCCACGGTCACCATGGAGACAAGCTGAGAGATACGATTGGCTCCTGTGGGCACTGACGGTGTTGCTGGTTTGATGATGCAAACGTGCTGGGCTCCGGAAGGAAACTTCAGCATCCCCTACACTACAGGAGCATCTTCCCACTCATCTAAGCTCAAAGTACAAATATAACCATTGTCTTTTTTATTCAAACAGGGGAGATTTTTGCCAGACATCAGTAGCCATGACTGTAGACTGTTACTGTACTTTAGAACAGTTTTAGCAGTAAGCAGTCTAGAGCCAAGGTATTGATGTACTGACTGATAGAAGGTAGGAAAGAGTCGGTGGCTAAAAACATGCCAAAAGGATACAAGGAAGTATAGATAAGAAATGGCATCAAGCAAATATTGTGTGCACCCAGTATGTGAAGAGCAAAGCATGGTGGGTACTTCAGTGCTCTTTAGAGTTACCTGGAACCTACTGTACATGTCATCTGACCCAGTCTGTCCCATCCTATTTGTGTCAATGATGCTGTGTGGTTATAGCGTACTTGTTTTGTTTGCAGTATTGATTTCCATGCCGATTATCCATGAGTCAGACACAGGAAATGGACAGACAGTGGCAAAGGGGGCCGTAATGGTGGCTTATGCAAGCTCTAAAGCGCTGACGTCAGCTTCCAGGATATCCGAGTCCACTTAAGCACTGGCCTGGGTGTTTATATACTGGGCTCTTTGTACCTGAGAAGAGTCTAACAATAGTGCGCATTGTGTCACCTCTGGTCATGTAGCAAGCCTGTAAAAAGCAATATCCGGTGGTTAGTGTCTGCAGTTTCTAGCAAACAATTATTGAATATCATTTTATATATGTTTATCTAAATAGATATTCCTGTTTTTATAGCTGGCTATGATTCTGACCATATTTATGAGTTGAGCAGTAAGTAGGCCATACTCAAGGTTAAAAGTCCAGCTATGATTTGACTATGCATTAGTAACAGTATTCCCCCAAATATCAGAAGCATAACGTAAGTCGATGCTTAAAACTTTTTTTCTAATGTAAAGATGGATGTGCTATGATTAGATTTCTTCTGCAGATCACCCTCACGCTTTCAGCACCACGGATAGCGCCAAACAGCATCTAACTGAACCATAAAGGCACTCTGTCCATCTTATCGTCATCCTGCTGTGAAAAGTCATTTGGACATAAGGATACCCAGAATCTGGGTCTTTGTTCATTGTCATTCCATTCTCGTGGCCCGGAGGAGTTACCTCGGGGAGTTTTCGCGGGTCCCTGGGCCTACCCACCCCCTCACCTCTCCTTTCCCCACACCGCCGTACAGACACATGGCAATGCAGCTGCTCAGCACATACAGGCGACCAGTACTGTGCCTTTAAAAGCTATCTGGTGGCTGATTGGGAGTCGTCTGCATGTGCGCAGGAATGACGCAAAATTGACTTCATCTCAAGAACGCGTCACGAAGTCATTTCAACATGAAAGGAGCAGAGAAACTATGTAGAAGCTTTGAGACTGCCAAAGGGAAGGAGGATAGCTCACGTCACCTCTTCAGGTTTGAAAAAATGAGGTGTGATTAAATACATACTTCTTTTGTTTTAACCGCACCTCCTGCTAAATGAGGCATACATGCTGTAAAGAGGTGATGGTCGTGCCTTTGTCATCTGTCCCTGTGTGTGCTGATACGGGACAGTTAACATGCAGTCAGTGCACTCTATCCCACTAGACATCACCGCTTTTTTCACAGCTGTCACTGCCCATGTGCGCCAAAGTGACTCACACTGCAGTAACTTCAGCTTCTGCTAACGTACATTACGCACTAACAATCACGCACAAAATTATTCTACTTTCACAAAATAAATAGCCAAAAATACAAAATTCCGCACGGAAATCAAAGCATTTTCTTATTTCACGATACGGTGATTAAGGATTTGTTATCAGATGCCGACATAAAAAATAAAATTGGAATAGAAGCGTGCTTACCTTATTTCATGAATCCAGATGAAACTAGCTTTTCACTAAATTAAACTAAAGAATACGTTTGGTGTTCCCATTTCACCCAAGTAGAAAATACATGTTTTACGCTATTTTCTTTGTTTTCTCTCCTAGTATAGTCTACCTCCAACCCGCTATTTGCTGTAATTCATCGGGTTGTCCCGGAGATCTGCTCTTATAGACATCCCGTAGTACTAGTAATGGAGTTGGGAGGGGACACTCATTCATTCAGAAGCATCACCTACATGGCCAATGTACGTGGACTCTTACGTCATCAAGAAAACGTAGTCAACAGGAGGCTTTCTTGAGGGGAGGAGGGGATGAGGGGATGGGGGGAGCAGTGAGCCTCGCAGGGGGCTTGTTTGGGGAAGTGTGTAGGGAGCATGGGGACAGTCAGTGGCTCTTTATTGGTCACGCTGTTATTACACATTTACCCAGACATGGTACAGCATCACAGGGGTGGTAGGGACAAAAAGGTGCAATTTTCCAGCTTCCAGTACCATCTCCTCACTAAGTATAATGAGTTGTAATAAGAACAATAAATTACTTTCCGAGGCTATGAAATATTTAAATGGTAAAATTGAATAGGATTATATTGTGTTTATTTTACATTAGCATTTAAACATTGTGTCAATTTAAAAGTCCTTGTGTGAACTTTTCTTGTTTTTTCAATTTGATAACTGATATATTGGGCAATTAAAGCAATTTAGCACAAGGACACCTCCTGCTGGCACTGTAGTGAAGCAGTCTAAATCAGTCTAAACACAATAGCTGCTATATTTAGAATATATAAGATACATAGTGAATGTAAATCCAGTCTTTAAATGATAAGTCAGCTGAAAAGTGTATAGACTTTAAAAACACAGATTTTGTTATAACACACACAATATAATAGACAACTTAACTTTAAGGTACACTGTGTAACTTTTGCGGTAGAGGGTCTGTCATTTGCTTGTATCAGTGGAATTTTCCACAGTATGGTAGTAAAAATATTTCTACACTGGGTCATCAAGTAATTCCACCAGACCAAATTATAGATTAGATTTGTGGAGTGGCGACTCTGCCACAGAAAGAATACAGTTACTTTATTGTTATTTATTTATTTAAATATGTTTAATATCATGTTGTGGAACATTTCAAGCAAAGTGATAGCATCTCAAAATGACAGGCGGTGGAGCCTCCATCAGAAAAGTTACATAGTTTATCTTTAAAC